AGTATAGCGCAAAAAACTGTATTGTCCAGTCAGAGACAATTCAAAATAAATTGAAAGGGTTTTCAAAGTTTAATATAGGAAGGTCGAAATTTAGGCTCAGTTGATATGTTGATCAAAGTAGACCAGCTGTTAATGGAGATTGAAACACCATTAGAAGGCAAAACTCCAAACGATAATGCTCCACTGGATCAGGGCGATACCGGTAACGAATACGTGACACGGAGGAGCAAACCTTCGTAATTATAAATGGCAAGTTTTTTTATTTGAGTCGCATGATCGAAGGAGTTAATTAATGTCAATAATGGGTCTGATAGGCGGATACGAGTCGAAAGTGTTTGGAAGGCGTTTGTCTGATGTATCACTGATTTCCATTACACCCAACGTCAATGGGCTTAGTTACATTAATAATATCTGTGATTGACACACACGTGATATTGGTAGAAATCACACCCTTTTCTAGTTTTTCGTTGTACGTCCTCCTCGTTATAAGTACGTTGTCACTCCGTCTAATTGCAGGAGAGGGAAAGTTTTGAACAGGCTCAAAGTTCGAGAGCACTCTCCCGTACTAGCCAGTCCGAGCCCGTCCCTAAAGTTCTTAAACAGATCGTAAACAGTTTGCTACTACGTTCAACTCCGTTCGCACACAGTTTGAGCCCGTTTGGCAACATTTTCCAGAACGTAGTGAGAACTCGGTGTGATAGGGGCTTAAAGTCCCCATCAAAATGTCATCATTTCCCCCGTCCTCCAATTAGACGGAGTGACAACGTACTTATAACGAGATGGACGTACTACGAACGGGACTGCTGTAATTCGATCCTTCTAGGAACGTGACATGGTCGAGTATCAATTCAAAATGTAGCTCAACCGAGTCGGTTGCTAGTTCACCCCTTTGGCAAACAGACCCAACTCAGAAGGTGCATTTTAAGCTACGGTCACAAAGGTTCGTACGAACGATTCTCCCTGTTTTTTCCATTGTCTTCCCGAATTTCCATTGTCTGAAAATCGTTCGTACGGTTTCGGCGTAGCACTTCGTAATGGCATTTGTGACCGAGGCTTAGTGTACTTCAGGAGCGCTTCTTAAAACCAAACTAAAATATTTCAAAGCGATCCTTAGATCCCCTTAAAAAATAAGTACATCTGTCCCTTACCGCTGTTATATGCCAACTTCAAATAATTTTATTTGACTTCAAATACAATTATTCTTTTCAATTTATATGTCAACGGTAGTACCGGTCTTTATGAATAAACGACATGTTACGTAGAAACCAGCCTGTAACATTTTGGGAAATATTGCATTTAAAGTGCGTGTAATGAAAACAAATGAATAAATGATAAATTTAATCACAGCATCATTCCTCCAATATATACAGTCACTCACCAAAAAAAAAAAAAAAACAGGCACTTCATATTGGCGTTTCTGTTGCCATGTAAACGCTTTATCAGTTGACTTTTCTAACGGCTTCCGCGTCGTTATAACCGTACTTATAGCATGTACTTAATGTCACGAATGATTAGGCAATTAAGATAATAATTGATGCGCAAACTGAAATCGAGGCATCATCCTGTGTTTGCTCTCGATGAGTTTATCTTGGCGGTCGCAATGGCCGTGACCAATAGTACTGTCCTCCTACTTAATTATCACTGGCATTTTATCATACGGAGAAAGGAGGGGAGGAAGAGGAAGAGAGAGAGAGTGGGGGGGGGGGGGTAAAGAGTGAGAGGGGGAGATAAGTTAAAAAACTGAGAGTGTTTGGAGGTATAGTCACGGGAGTGATTAACAGTGTCCTCATTGCTGTCATGGGTTTTGTTATCAGAAATGGGAGAGTTAAAGAGAGAGAGAGAGAGAGAAAGAGAGAGGGAGAGAGAGGGGGGGGGGGGTAAAGAGTGAGAGGGGGAGATGAGTTGAAAACTGAGACTGTTTCGAGGTAGTCACGGGAGTGATCAACTGCCCTAATTGCTGTCACGGATATTGTGATCAGAAATTGGGGGGAGAGAGAGAGAGAGAGGGGGGAGAGAGAGAGAAAAAAAAAAAGAGAGAGAGAGAGAGAGAGGGGGGGGGGACAGAGGAGGAGTTGAGAGACAGAAACCATTTTAAGATACTCCTGGGAGTCCTTCATGTCCTCCTTGCTGTCATAATTATGTACTCTTATTATAGATGGGGGAGAGAGAGGAGTAGAGAGATAGAGACAGACATACCATGGACCTACTATAGACAGACAGACAGACAGACAAGATGACAGACAAACAGAGACAGAGAGAGAGAGAGAGAGAGGGTGAAAGTAGTTGAGAGACAGACCATTTTGATAGTTGCCATGGAAGTGACCAATATTTATTGTACATGATTGTCCTCCTGCCTGTCACTGGTATTCTTGCTTCTTTTGATACTGTATATAAAATACAATACAAAAAATGTTGGTCCTGTGAAAAAAATACAGTTTTGCTAGAAGAAGAAAAAAAGTTCTGCTTTTTGGCAAGTGATAATCATTTAATATTATTTTCTAGTATTGTCATGTCAAAAGGTATGTTCTTTCTATCAAGTTTGTACATACATTTATATAACTGCCATCGATAAAGGTCACTAATTAAGAATGCGATTTTGGCAAAATAAAATATCAGTATGTGCTCTAAAGAAAATGTTACACATTTTTCTCAAACCTTTTTATTTCTGGAGCAGTATATTTTTTTTACCCGGTCTTCTTTATGCTGCATTTCCCCCACTCCAGTATTCAATAATCTAGATGTGATAAGATAATAGTAGAAAACAACAAATCCCCGGACCATTAACAACATCTTTTCTAATTTCTCACATTCTGTCAGTTTAATTCCATGCACATTTGTTGTTATAGGGCCATAAAATCTAGTACATATTCCTGAAATTAAAATCCAGTTGGGATTGACGTCAACCAAGATTTTCCTTTCTCGGCTGAAAATCAAAATCAACTAAAAAAAACCATTATCGCATTCGTTCCAATCCCCAATCTACATTTTAATTCAATTTGTCTGACTTATTGACTCTATTTGCTTTTCCATTCGTAAATCCAGCTCCTCGTAATATATTCCAGCGTACAAGTTTGATAGATCGAAGAAAAAGATCAAAAGATTCGAAAGATTATGGTAGTCATGGTGACGGATTATTAAAGCAATACTTGGGGTACTTTGCTGCCTGTGCAGCCGTATATCTTCTGTTGAGAGCCAGAAGGACTTTAAAGGTACTTTAAAGGTACTATGTCCCATCTGCAGGCCAAATAAATGAAGAGGTTAAATTCCAACGGCATTTGAAAGATAATACTAATTTAGAACTTTCCTCAAAACGAAAGGGCTTGAAAATGTCTTTTTGTGGAAAAATAACGATCGTTAGTTGTCGAATCAACTTTAGGGATTGCAATCCTTTCAGTAAGCAGTCTGATTTTCAGACCCTTGTACCGAATGATCGTACATTTTGTGCTGCGCAAAGATTCAATCAGTTTAATTTTGGCCATTACAAAAAGTGGGTTATTGAGGTAGACAAAATAATGCTCATGTACCCTTTACAGCTCATTTTATGTATGTTATTAACAAAAAATAAAAAGAAGTCAGCCAGTCACTCAATAGTGTCTGACAGTAAGGTCTAGAAAGTAAACGGGTATTTCCTTACATAATTTGAATACTAGGACACTGTTAACGTTTAAAATTCACCGATAGGACATACGTGACATATTCAAAGTTCCTGCAAAGATTTACAGTATGAGACGTTGGCTACAAATGGGACATAGGAGGCTACCTTTAACTCACGATAAAAGTGTATGAGTTAATATAAACCCGCTTATCACTAGAGGATAATTCATTTTTAAAAATGATATTATATTTTCAATTACAGAACTTGATCGAGTAAACAAGGTGTCCTCATATTTTTCGATTTAAATATGAGCAAGGTAAACCCATAAAATTAACATCTTCATAACTTATCACATTTGAGACAGACATTAATAAAAATATTAAGGGATGCGTTTAATTATGGAAATTAAGTCCCTGTTCGTCAGAAAGGGAGTCAATTTCTATTATAGACCTACATAAAACTAATTAAAATCCACCATCATGCTAGTAACCAACTTTCTTTTTATTATCTATGTGGAAACAGGCAGTGGCAATATGAAGGGAGAAAAGAAGAAAATTAAATATTCTGATTGGTAATCCAATTAGGATCTACTTCCATGAATATATCAACTTACAAAAATGAAAAAAATAATCAAACTCGATCTTCCCCTGCCTTGAGTCCACTTATCTCTCCAATCTCCTGACATTAATGATATTGACTAGAAGCATGATAATTTCAGGGCAAGTTCGTTTGGCTTCATAATGATTTGTAATTAGAGTACGATCAAGGTTGTTATCTAATAGGCCTACTTGATCGTGGCGATATTTAATTAAGCAATCTATTTCCCTTTTATTGAACTCCAACAAATTTCTTTAATTCATCTCAATATTATCTGCTTGCTTGTTACTGTGGGTGGGGGGGGGGGGTTTCAGCTTAGTTCAGTTCAGTTTATTAAAATACACCAGGCATAGCAGTCATGACGAACAAACATGATCCAAGTAGAGACCCTAAAAGCTATGCTTGTGGGTAGGGCCCCTGGGAAGGATCGATGATGGACCTCTCAATCCCGGCGGATTAGCAAAGAGACCAACGTGTTTCAAGGAGCTGCGCAATTCAAAACATGAAAGATAGTAGGATACGATCATGGATACGATCATGGATACGATACAGTCTCACTGTTTCCTTTTAGTAAAAGCCGTACTCGGAGTATTTTGCATATAAAAAGGAGAAGTAATGATACACTGCCAGTATTTTCTTATCATCAGTCGTCGCATTTTTAACGCGAAAAGTTGATGAAATGGCTCTACCGGCAAACATGCTTGAAGGAACAAAATTCGCTTTGTTCTTGCTGTGGCTTATTGTGCCATTCCCGATTGTTTGTGGCGCTCCAGTCATTTGCCCTCAGCCATGTGAATGCTTCGTACATATGCCGGGCATCTTTGTCGACTGTGACGCGAGATCGTTGACCACGGTACCAGATGTCAATGTTCCCAGAGATGCAAGAACGTTTGCCTTGACCTACAATCAACTCACTGCCATCGGAGATGAAGCATTCTCCACGCTATTTCGTCTTATTACCTTGCGTCTTCAACACAATGCTATATCAAGACTGGGACCAAGAGCCTTTGTCGGACTTGCTAGTCTTCGGGAACTAGATCTTTCATATAATCAGATAACACATATCACTTCTATTCGAGACTTGCCGTTTCTTATCTACCTAGAATTAAGCTCGAATTTTATCCAGGAAATTACATCCACCAGTTTCCAAAACGTTGCCGATATCAGCGATTTGAATTTAGAGATGTCTCATAATTTCATGGAGAGTTTATCATCTTTATCTCCTTCGATATGCATCATCAGTGTCATAGCAGTTGGTTTAAAGCATTTCGATATTCATGAAATAAGGCATGCGAACCGGCTTCGTACGATTGATTTGAGTGATAACAGTATTCGTCACCTACCGGATCTGGCGAGCCTGACGTCTCTAGAATTCCTTATCCTCAGAAGAAATCCAATCCACACGATTTCCAACCCACCCCCTTCTTCAATCTTGAAAATAATTGATTTGCGCTACGCAAACCTTATGCATCTCCCAGACTCCTGGGGCTACGTCAATCTTACTCTGCTTCATTTGGACGGGAACCGTTTCGAATCATTTCAGAATGTATTTCCTTCTAAAAGCAGTGCTGTACGTTATTTACTGTTATCGGGAAACAAGATGAAAGACATCCATGCTATTCCTTACTTACCCAACCTGATTTCTCTTTATGTGAACGATTTGGCAATAAGTGGAGAAGTCACTTTGGACTTGTGCGTCTTTCCAAATATTAAGTACCTCCATCTCAGTAAGAATGACATTAGTGAGTTTAAAATAACAGATGGGCGTGATACAACGAATTGCAACACTTCTAATAGTATTGTCCCCTCAAGCTTATCAACGTTAAATCTCGACCAGAATAGAATAACAACACTGGCCTTTCTTCGACACACTCCTGGCCTAGCAAATCTTCGTATGGCGTACAATAACATTCAAAGGATTGACTGGGAACCGGCTGACCAACACGAAGGGCTGAGATCAATTGATTTGTCATACAACCGACTAGCTGTACTTGAAAACTTTACTGGAATGAGTGTTCTTCAGTCCCTTATCCTATCACATAATCGAATCCGAACAGTGCTTGCAGGAGCATTCAACGGCTCGTTCAACGTGCAGTATTTGCAGCTTGATGGAAATCAACTGACAGAATTTCCTGATCTGTCCGCATTGCCCCAACTCAGGTCCTTAGATTTAAGATTCAATTCCCTCAAGGTGGTGACCGAGAATAATTTCATAAATCTGTCATTTCTCACTCACCTTAAACTTAGCTCAAATGAAATTTCTAACATTTCACTTCCAGCAAATCTAACACTTCATCAGTTATTCTTGCAAAACAATGCATTGACTTCTGTGGACAGAGTCGGAAATGCTTTGACATTAGACGTAAGTGGAAACAGGATCAGTAGTGTTTGCTCGGTGGTTTTTGACAGACGAGTGATGGAAAACATCATCATTGACAATAATAGGTTAACAGACCTACGTTTGCCTTTGGATTTAAGGCAAATTACTTGCTCTAATAATCGCATCAAGACTTTTTCTGTCAACTTTTGCCATACCACGGAAACTCAAGATGAGTTGATGTCCATCCCATGCGAGCTTTCCTATGTGTCATTAGGATGGAATGACATATCCTACGTCGGTCCAGGAGCTATGGAAGGATGCGCCATATGGTATCTAAATCTGGAAGGAAATCCAATTGTATCATTTTTCGTTGAGTATTTTCCTGATTTGCTTATGCTATCTCTATCACACACGAATGTACAAAACATTTCGTTGATTGCCCCTAACAGAACTTCAATCATCCTTAAGAAGATTTGGATGGTTAATGTAACGTTGTTTCGTCTCAACCGTCAAACCAACGCCTCAATATTCGAACCTTCACTTCAAATGGTAACTCATTTGCTTCTTAATGGCAACGACGTGGTTAGTATTCCCATGTTAAAGGCGCCCCTCCTGACGAATCTGAACTTGAGTAACAACAGGATCAAGTATTTTTCTCTGGAAACCTTCCTTGAAATCCCCAGGATCCGAATCATCGATCTTAGCAAGAACTCGATCAGAACCATCCCATGCCTTGCCTTTGTGAAAGCAGTCCACGTCGTGGAAATCAATCTCGAAAACAATCGGATTGACTTCATCGGTCAGTCTGCCTTCGTCAACCAGAGCCATTTCACTCTCCGCCTTGGAAACAACCAGCTTGTGTCTCTGCGCCCATCATCCAGCCTTCCGCTTCTGTCAAGGAATGTCTACTTCGACCCAAACCCCTGGCGTTGCGACTGTGAGGCCGTGGCACTGGTGGGATGGCTTCAGAGGTCGGGGGTGCAGAGGGTCTACTGTTCGAGTCCAGCAATCTTCAGAAATAGAAGTGCTGTGAGTCTGCACCCTTCTGAGCTCTGTCCAGACGGTTATTCCGAGGAGTCATCTGGAAACGGCAGTGACACTGAGAACAGTCTCCTACTCGATCATTTGCCCTTTCCCAATGACCATAATTATAGCGTTGGTGGTCACGATAAAGCAGAGCCGTTGCTTTCCTGTCGAAATTATATGGTTTTTCACTCTGGCGTATTTTTCTTAATACGTTCATTCTTATAAATGCACACTAGCCCAAATATATATGATATTATGTATATACACTACACAATATCTGTAAAGCACTTAGAGACATTGTCAGTGGCGGAGCCAGGAATTTCATACGGGGGGGGGGGGCACAAAATCGCATGAGGTGAAATAGATTAAAAACGATGGAGTGAGGCATCAGCGGCGAGGGAGCGGAGCGACCTAGCGGGGTGGGTCTGTGATGGGTTCAGAACCCTCTCCCTGAGTAGGAAGCATTTTTGCAACTTTAGAACCACATTAGGCGCATTTTCAGGCACTTCCTGGAGTAACATGACGTAAAATTGCTTTTTCCTACCCCCTCCAAGAGTAGGGATCTTTTGCAATTTGAGAACCACATTTGGCGCATTAATTTCCACCGGCGCTTCTTTGAAAAAAAACCTTTTGGTTAGAAGTTTATTAGAGAAAAGTGATCTGTCACGTCGCGAGACGTTGTATAATCTTCGTTGCTGCATAATGACAAAGACGGTGGTCTGTTACTTCACCAGTACTTGCAAAAATTATCTCGAGTGTATAAACTGTGTTGTTATCAGAGGCGTCGCTAGACCTTTTTTCAGTGGGGGGGGGGGGGGGGGTGTAGAAGCCACCAATTACCTACAAATATATTAATGCCAATGTCCCAATGTTAACAAATTTAACCCTATAAACCCGGGGCCATGCAATTCCCCTCGCCCCCTCCCGTGCGAAGCGCGGAAGCTTTTACACTTCATCAAATTATTAGAGAAAGAAGACGATTTGTTGTACCATTCCCGACTCTTACTTCTTGTTGCGCCCCTCCCGCGCGAAGCGCAGAAGCTATGACGTTTCATTTAATTATTAGAGAAAAAGACGATTCGTTCTACCGTTCTCGACTCTTAGACCCCGTTCTCACTCACTTTGAAAGTGGTCTAGTTAGACCGCTCCAGAGGAACGGGTCTTGAGGAACGGTTTGCGAGCGTTCACACTCCGAGCAGTTTTTTATGGCTCAAACCGCTCCACGAGTCAAAGTGGTCTTGTTGCTATGGCAGCTCAGGTCAGCAGGTCAATTTTTTCGCGCGCGGAATACAAACCGTATGTACTGTACTACATGTTTCGCACGGAACGTCACTAGCTCACTTCCGGTGAAGTACGCTTCCGTTCACATTGCACGTTAGAGCGGTCCAAACCGCTCTTAATAAGACCCGTTCCTAAAGACCACCTCCCGAGGTGGTCTTCTGGAGCGGTCCTGAAGTCCACTTCTGGAATACTTTGACCGTTCTCACTCACCTAAGAACTGCTCCTGAGGAACGGGTCTTAGTTAGACCGCTCCAACGAAGTGAATGAGAACGGGGTCGTAATCTTGTCTGAATTCAGTTTCCCACTCCCATGCGAAGCGCGGAAGCTTTGACGTGTCATTAAATTATTAGAAAAAGAAGCCGATTCGTTGTACTGTTTTTCGTTTCTTATATAATACTTGTGTGAATTCAGTTCCCCCCCCCCCCCCCCCCGCCCGCGCAAAGCGCGGAAGTTTTTACGTTTCATTTAATCATTAGAGAAAGAAGACGTTTTGTTATAACGTTTTCGACTCTTAATCTTGTCTAAATTCAGTTTCCCACTCCCGCGCGAAGCGCGGAAGCTTTGATGTGTCATTAAATGATTACTCTTAATCCATGTCTGAATTCATTTTTCACCCATCCCGCGCAAAGCGCGGAATCTTTCACGTTTCATTAAATTATTAGAAAAAGAAGTCGATTCGTTGTACTGTTTTCGTTACTTATATACTCCTTGTGTGAATTCAGTTCCCCCCCCCCCCCCTCCTCCCCCGCGCGAAGCGCGGAAGCTTTGATGTTTCATTAAGGTTTTAAAGAAAGAAGACGTTTCGTTATAACGTTTTCGACTCTTAATCCTTGTCTGAATTCAGTTTCTCCCCCTCCCGCGCAAAGCGCAGAAGCTTTGGCGTTTCATTAAATTATTACTCTTAACCCTTGTCTCAATTCATTTTCGCTCATCCCGCGCGAAACGCGGAAGCTTTGATGTTTCATTTAATAATTACTCTTTATCCTTGTCTGAATTCATCGCCGATCCCGCGCGAAGCGCGGAAGCTTTTACGTTTCATTAAATCATTAGAGAAAAAGACGATTCGTTCTACCGTTCCCGACTCTTAATCTTGTCTAAATTCAGTTTCCCACTCCTGCGCGAAGCGCTGAAGCTTTGACGTGTCATTAAATGATTACTCTTAATCCATGTCTGAATTCATTTTTCACCCATCCCGCGCAAAGCGCGGAATCTTTCACGTTTAATTAAATTATTAGAAAAAGAAGCCGATTCGTTGTACTGTTTTCGTTACTTATATACTCCTTGTGTGAATTCAGTTCCCCCCTCCCCCCTCCCGCGCGAAGCGCGGAAGCTTTGATGTTTCATTAAGTTATTAGAGAAAGAAGACGTTTCGTTATAACGTTTTCGACCCTTAATCCTAGTCTGAATTCAGTTCCCCCCCCCCCCTCCTTCCGCGCGAAGCGCGGAAGCTTTGACGTTTCATTAAATTATTAGAGAAAAAAGACGATTCGACTCTTAATCTTAAAAAATGTTTCTTTTTCCCGATAAAAAGTCACAGTTCGTAGTCGGCCGACCGATATAATACATCTCACCGACTTAAAACTTTTGCATTGATACAGTACACTTGGATCGAGCGAGAATACCGACACAGCGGACCCGACACAGCACCATAAATATCTATGCGTATCTTTCTTGCCCCCTCGACGTGGTGACTCCACCGAACATCCCCCTGTCTCTTTTACTCACACCCCTCTTATCTCAGGCTCTTACCCCCCCCCCCTCTCTCTCTCTTCTCTTTCATCTCCCGTCTCTTTTGTTTCCTTTTTCTTTTCTTTTTTTCCTTTCCTCTTTTTTTTCCTTTCCTCTCCTTCCTCTTTTTTCTCTTTCTCTCTTCTCTTCTCTTTCATTTCTTTCCTTTCTTGTCTTTTCCTTTTTTCTTTTCTTTCCCTTTCCCTTTCATTTCCTCCCTCCCCCTTCTTCTCTCTTTTCCTTTCCTCCTCCTTTTCTCTCCTCCCTCTTTTCTTCTTCTTTCTTTCTTCCCTTTTCTTTCTTTTCCCCCTCCGTTTTCTCCCTTTTTTCTCCCCCTTCCCCCTTTTTCTACCGGAGGGGGGGGGGGCACGTGCCCCCTGCGCCCCCTGAATCCGCCACTGGTTGTAGATATATTCAACGCTTTATAAAACCAAAATCCTATGACGATGATTATTAATACTACATGTATTTACGGTGTTAAGGGCTTAGACAGTGAGACGATTAATCATCTGGCTCAGCTCTAAAAGCTTTGCATTTTAAAGTTCATCCATAACTAGATGTAATAAATAAAGAAATAAAAGAAAAATAAAGGAAATCCATTGCTTTGAGAATTCCGTTCCATATCATGTAGCAGCAGTATTCAAGCTCCTCAAAAAGTTCTGCAATTCAAGTTTGAGCATTGCTATCTCTCTTGTTACTGTATTATCATACTTCAATTTGGTATCATTTAAAAACATGTTTATTTTCATTATACCTTAATCCTTGACTGAATTCATTTTCGCTCATCCCGCGCCAAGCGCGGAAGCTTTGATGTTTCATTAAACTATTAGAGAATCGAAAGAAGACGATTTGTTGTATCGTTCTCGACTCTTAATCCTAGGCTGAGTTCAGTTCCCCCCCCCCCCCCTTCCCAGGTGATGCGCGGAAGCTTCGACGTTTCATTAAATTATTAGAGAAAGAAGACGATTCGACTCTTAATCATTGTCTGAATTTTTAGAAAATGTTCCTTTTTTCCGATAAAAAGTCACAGTACGTAGGGGAATTTTTTGTTCTTTTGTTCTTTTCTATCCCTTTCCCTCTCATTTCCCCCTCCCCCATTCCTTATTTCTCCCGACAGCAGTGCAATTCTACCGCCAATATCATGACAGGTGGGTAGGCGCACCCCCACGACACCTTTAGCGACGACCCTGGTTGTTTTAAAAGAAATGCAATTCCTCATGCTCTCGCACCTCTCTTCTATCGTTATTCAATTCTCTTTCATTGTTTTCCTTCCTCTCTTTCCCCCTTCTTTCCATCTCCTTTTTGTTGTTGTTGTTCTTCTTGTGTTATTTTCTTTGGGGGGAGCTACACGCCTGGCAAGAGGGATCCCATATTATGCACACTGAAATATTGCGTGCGCCCCCCCCCCCGCCCCTTTCCCGGTAAAAAAACTCCTTCTTATAATATCATCCCCCTTTCTTTCTTCCCCACCCCCTCCCCATCCCCCTTTTCTCCTCCGTCTTTCCCCCTTTCTTCCCTTTCCGCCTTTTCTCTCCACTTTCTTTCTCTTTTTCCTTTCCTCCTCCTTTTTCTCCTCTCCCCTTTTCTCTCCTCCCTCTTTTCTTCTTCTTTCTCTCTTCCCATTTCATTCTTTTCCCCTTCCCCCTTCACCCCTTTTTTTTTCCTTCCCCCTTCCCCCTTTTTTTTTACCGGAGGAGGGGGGGGCACGTGCCCTCTGTGCCCCCTGAACCGCCACTGATTGTAGATATATTCAGCGCTTTATAACACCAAAATCGTATGACGATGCTTCTTAATACTACATGTATTTACGGTGTTAACGGCTTAAATAGCGAGACGATTAATCATCTGGCTCAGCTCTAAAAGCTTTGCATTTTAAAGTTCATCCATAACTAGATGTAATAAATAAAGAAATCAATTGCTTTGAGAATTCCGTTCCATATCATGTAGCAGCAGTATCCAAGCTCCTCAAAAAGTTCTGCAATTCAAGTTTGAGCATTGCTATCTCTCTTGTTACTGTATTATCATACTTGAATTCGGTATCATTGAAAAGCCTGCTTATTTCCCTTATACAAGTATTCATGGAATGCACAGTAGATCTGAATATCGGGCCTAGTCAAAGTGAAATATTGCAGAATGCATTGTTATTTTCTTCTTTTTTTTGGAGGATGGATTATATTTAAAGAGGCGACCAGGCATGAATTCTAACGGTGTATTCTCCTATTCTTAGGAGAATGAAACATGTTTTGAATGATGTTGAGGTGGTCGATATTAAATGGCGTGCTTTATGTTGTTTTCATCTTTGGTTGGAAGATAAAAAAGTGTTTTGATCGATTGATTGTGAGATTATCATTGAAAACTCAATCTATCCACCAAACGAAGAATTCAGTTGAGAACAACAATTAATTTTGCAACATTTCACTAGGGACTTGGCCACATATTCAGGTGTACTGCACATTCCATGATTACACCATCATTACAATTGGGGCATCATTACAAAGGGGAGTAAATGTGTTTTTCGATGATACCAATGTAAAGTAGGATAATATAGTAACGAGAGTTATCAACGCTCAAACTTGAATTGCAGACCTTTGTTGAGGAGTTAGATATTCGTAAAAATGTTATCGCTTCGTTTGGTTTTGTATGGTCAACTTGTTATTTTGTTCCATCACCGGTACATGTAATCCAATGGTGGCGATCAAGGAGAGGGATGCATGGGGGTGCAAAGTGAAAAACTATAGATCGAGGGTTCAGTGACACAAAGACGTAACTCCATATTTTGCCAAAATAAGTATTTCATATCAAAATGTTTAGAAAAATGTGGGCTTTCGAGGCAACACAAAGACTTAACTCCATTCAACACCCCATTGAAGTCAAAGAAACATAGACTCGATTCCTTATGGCCCAAGGGCTCAGTGACACATAAACCACTTTTTCTCAAAATGGCCAAAATGTAGTTACGTCTTTGTGTGTCACTGACCGAGGTGTTGTATAATTATATACAGGAGCTGACGAGAGCGATGTCATACTTCAGTCAAGACTGACAACAGACTGAAGACGAAAATGACATTACCAGAAATGGCCAAGATACTTGGCAGTTTGGCAGAGTGCAGATGACAGAGGATATTTGACATCAGGGAGGATTTCTGTCTAACCATGACCACGGGTGCCAAGGTTTGCTGGGGATGCAGCAGTTTGAGGGGATGCTCAAAATTTTGGTTGTAGCACTGGGGTGCTGTCAGTGAATTTGAATAGACCGGCTTGCTAACATTTTTCAAATTTATGGACGTTTCTCTCCTGGGGACCTAGTGATGAGTTATTCCACTAACCTGTCAATAATGAATGAACTTCAGGAATCCAGCCTGCTTAAATTGCGTGTTGCTATGTCGGGCAATTGTTTGGGGGTGTCAAGAACAACCTTTGTTTAAAAAGTGTGTATAAAATTTGAATTTGATAGAAAACCAGTCTATTGAAAAGATACCCCTCAAAATCCCCCCCCCCTCCTCTCCCCCTCCTCTCCCCCTCCCTTGCCCCTTTGGTGGGCATACACTATGAACATGCCTGACAAAGAAAGCGGACAAAATATACAGTTCCTCAGGTAGACAAAGGAACATCCCTTCACTGCTATTATGTAAACATGTGTAGAACAGGTGTCACATGCATATTCACCTGTCCTACACATTTTTACATAATAGCAGTGAAGGGATGTTCCTTTGTTTACCTGAGGAACTGTATATTTTGTCCGCTTTCTTTGTCAGTCATGTTCATAGTTGGGGCAACTTTATAGGATGTCTTTTCACAATTGAGTTCGCTCACAGCACTTCTACACCATCCTATTTGGCATACAAGGCATACTCTGACAAGAAAAAACAAAGAAAGAACTTTTTAAAAAGAAGAAAGAAAGCAGTTTCTGGTCTGGGCCCTCGTGTTACTCCAGAGAATTTTCAACAAGCCAGGCAAGAACTACCTCCCATCCATCCGCAGCTACACAGTGAAACAAAACAAACACACATTGCAAACAGCATAGTTTTTATATCAATGTTTACATTTATATTTATGATGCAGTGATACATGATGTGCTATACATCCTTATTAATGCTTTTCTTAAACCGCACAGAATAGTAACATAATAATAGGTCCAAAGAACACCATGATGAAAACCATCTACAAAATTCCTCTACGCCAATAAAAGTTCACTTTTGTACATATCATCTCTTTTTTTCTATACAAGTATGAATTAAAAAATAAATGTAATTCCACATTATATGATGTACATGGTTACTAATTTTGACTCTATTTATCATACAATAATCTCTGACAGAAAAAATTTCCTCAAAATAATATTTTCTACACAGAGTAGGACTCATGGTTCATCCTATAAAACAGCTTGTTTTGTAACAGTGGCAACCTAAAATTGAAATCAAACTAGTAAAAAAAAAATTAAAAGCAACTACGGAATAGCGAGCTTAATATCCTTTCCTTGGTTTTATTCAGTTTCTACATATTTTCCTATTTTATCAATAAAATTGGCAGTATCAAGAAGATCGAACAACTAAGTATCTGCTTTTCTAACACGTTGATGCATATCACCCAACATATAAGATGTGTGCAGTTTACCTTTCTTATATCAAATCAATTTTGGCATGTTTTAATGAACAATATAACACCAGAAAAAGGAAAAAAATATTCTCCTTCAAACTGATGAAATTTAATGATGACATGGTTTGGCATTGCTACGAATTCTTAAGTCATGATCCGATAGTATTCAAAAAATAAATTAAAAGCAAAAATGCTTATCTTTGATTCTACCTAATGCAGGAACAGGAGAGTTGTAAAAAAATTATATGTCGAGGGTTCAGTAACACAAAGAGGTAACTCCATATTTTTCCGAAATGAGTATTTGATATAAAAATGTTCAGAAAGATGTGGGCTTTCCAGGAAACACAAAGATGTAACTCCACCCAACACCCCATTGAGGTCAATGGCTAGTGAAACATAGACTGAACTCCTTAAGGCCAAAGTGCTCAGTGACACATAAACCACTTTTTCTCAAAATGGAGTTACGTCTTTGTGTCACTCACCCCTCGATGTATACAGTGGAAACTCATTATAAAGAGCTTTGATATAGCGAGGTATCTGTTATAACAAGGTGATTTCCACAGTCACAAGGACCTCGTTATAACAAGTTTCCACTGTATACCAACATTTAACAAGAAAAACATAACCCTTACAGGATTTCTAAATCAGAAATGAACATACTTCTGAGAGTCTTCGGGTGAGGGAAACGTAAGCAGACTTTTCCACACAGGATGATTGGTGGAAAATGCAAGACATTACATTAGGTCTGTTGGTCGTGCAACTGAAGGCTAATAATGGTGATTGAGAACACCTGTTATTGGGTTAACCCAGGAATGGTGTTGAATTTCCCATGAGAGACCGCTAATATGCGTCTGTAACATGATTATTTAGGTACACAGTACGCTAGAATTTAAAAAAAATGAAATAAAATGACCAATGTGAACAGGGAATCATGAAGGGTTTAGAAGCAGTCCCAGATAAGCAAATTCACAGAGTATTTAATAAGGTTTAGTTCGTAAGACAGGGATTTATGTGGAGATGTGACATGGTCAGTTAATTTCATGTCATAGATCAGATCGGTCGGGTAAATTTAAAACTCCTGCTTGGCTTTTTAATGTAACTTTCAATCTACCAACTGTACACAAGTATACCTATGCTTGAGCTTTATTTGATACACGTTTAGCACTTACAGAAATATAAAATCATAAAAACAAAATAAAACAAAACAAAAACAAGGACAAAAGATAAATGCTGAAGATACTTGGACACTCCGAATTAACGTTTTAAAAGATGTTAAGAATAGATATAAGCTTACAATACATGACATTATGTCAAAGCATAGCTTCTCAATTCACAATATACAGTATAAATTAAAATAGATTTGAAGTGTCTGTTATATATACAAATCTTTCAACCAACAACAATGAATACCAACTATCATCTAGTCGTTTAACAGCATACAAATACTGGTAATTCATGTTTGCGAGTGCATTCGTGAATATGCACCGCACGCAGGTTAAGTCACAATCGGATGATGGACTCTACATGTCGTCAGTCGAGTTCATTATCCAGCTAATTGTGACTTAAAAATGAAGTTGAGTTCTGGTCATGCGATTGCATTGTGAAAGAAACGGTGTGGAATCGACCAGAAAAGGTTGATCATCTAGCATATAAGAATTTGTGTGTACCTATTGCAAGGTTCTGGAATCATCAAAATGATAACAAATTTGGCCAAGTCTTGGTAAAGTTACAAACACTGTACACAGAAAGATGTATATGGGACTACAGGAACATGTGGCGTAAAAATCCTACCCCAGAGTTTTACGATGTTACATGACATATTTAGAATATGAAGGCATTTGAAGAGCCATGCTTTTCAGGGAACATGTATTATCTGATGTTCTTCCACACCTGTATAATAAGAATGATAACGCTCACAAATTATTTTTCACCTCTTCCCAGAACTCAACCTTCACTTTAACCGAATGCAGCGCATTTATCACTAATGCACAAGGCTTCAAAGCATGAATTATTTCCTTTATAAAAAAGGGTCTGTAATATGAATATAAATTCGAGAAATAAGCAAGAAACCTGATAAAAAGGCCAAGATTCGCAGCCATGGAGGCCGCCATTTGCTTTATTGAATGAAACCACAAGCATGCTGTCAAACATTTGAATGCGCGCTACGATACCCTTGCCATGTGACGCTATGTGCATTATCATCACGTCTGAACTTTTTACGTGCCAGAGATCTGCATACATTTAACTTAGCCATGGGATATCACTTTTTGATGGGAACTTTTTGGCACAGAGCACAGTAGGAACGAATGCTGCATGGTCACATGCTGTCATTTGACCAACCAGATTGCCTACATTCTTGAACCCTTTTTATAACATTGATGTGTTTTCTTGATCTCATAAATTATACATATAATTTGTCTTTTGCACTTCTAGCAATGGTATGAAATAAAATAGAAATTTCTTTAAAAAAATAGAAGGCCAATCCTTTAAAAACAATAGAAATTAACTACACGAACAAGGGAACCCTAATGCAATTTTTAAAATATAATCTGGAGTGTCTTGAGAATGCATCTAATTGAGCCATAACTTATGCCACAAGATTTTAATTTCTCAATATATCTATAGGACTCTGAACCCAATCTTTCACACATGATATCAAATCTCACATGAAATATATCAACAAGTTTTCATCTTGATGATAGCTTGCAAACGAATGAAACTACCTCCAAGACTTCTGCCATGGTATGTTGTAAAGGAAGGTCCTGACGGACTTGATGTAGAAAAGAAAGTTCATGCCCTTCTGGCTCCAAATAGACGTATTACCCGTTTCGGTAAGCTCTCACTGACTATGCTGAAAACTTCTTCATACCAATGCAGTAGCTGTATATTGTCCCAAGTCGCTTTCTTCAACTTACAATGATCTACGATCCCATTCTACCCTATCGCCGTACTTCATCAGCAACAGCGCCAGCTATGGCATACGGCAGGGGCCTGTTTCACAAACCCTTTTTCAATGACAAATGACAAATATCAGTGACAGATATGCTGATAACCAATCAGAAGCAAGGATTTCAGTAGCTTATAACAAAGACTGTCATTTGTCACTGATGATAAGTTTTGTGAAACAGGGCCCAGAAGAAGCTTGCAGCAAGTCAAGCAAAAGCTTACTCAAACAGGGGACGACTTCTAAAGATTGTAAAAATAGAACAAAATTTCAAGAGACAGTCATCATGAGGGAATTAAAAAAAATCCAGGGGTAATCTTTTTGTACGAATTGCAACCTGGGGGGGGGGGGCATTTGTCATTTGTCATTGAAAAAAAGGTTTTGTGAAACGGGACCCTAGAGGGAACAATATCAAGACCGAAGCAGATGCTTGGGTCATGTGAAGACCAAAGGCCTCAACATGGAAATCTCAATACTTGAGACAATGTCAGTTAATTTCTTTTCTCCTTTTTTCAATCCTTTTCCATTTTCTTTCATGCTTCACAATAAAACTCCTTTAAGGCATGATCTTCCCCTCTAGGTATGACGAATCCAAGATATTTCTATATATATTGTACCTGCTATTGGTATGGTTCATAGTAAACCTCATTGCTTCCTCTGTCAACATCCAACACACAGGTCTAGGAGCCGTTCTTGCTGTCCGTATGTGAACGTCACTGTTAATAGCTCTACTTTGTCAGAATGCAGAACTCTGTCATTCTGTTCACATTTAGCGCTATGACTGAGAAGTAATCGATCACCAGAGCATGGAGCGAACATTGTATCCACACAGTCTAATGGAGATTAAAACGTTGTACGGTCACCCTGAATTTGACATGCTTCCATGCATGAATATGAGAAGTGTTAGTGCTGATTTTGCTGATAACATCTCTTACTAGATAATGAACTCTGCGACTATAAAAGGTAAGAAACGGCAAAGGATGGTATCCATGACGATGATGACATCACCTCATTCTTCGGTTGCCGCCATGCCAACTCCGTGATTTCTTGATATGATGCTGGTTAAATCCTCCGCGATGCTGCTGCATAAAGTAACAGAAGGGAAATACCTGTTAAATTATCATTATCATCATCCCCGACATCATCATCATCATCATCATCATCATTAGTACTAATACTACTACAGTCAAACCTGCTTTAGTGACCACATGTCTACAAAGACCACCTGTCTACAACAAGCACATTTTTTGTTTCCCTTGAAAATGGTTTCTCATAGAAACTTGTACTAAAGGAACCAGTCTACAAAGACCACTTTTTGTGTTTCCCTTGGGCGGTGGCTGTAGACAGGTTTGACTATACTACTAATACTAATACTAATACTAATACTAATACTACTATTACTATTACCACTACTACTACTACTACTACTACTACTACTACTACTAATCCTACTTAATCGGGCATGGTGGCTCAGTCGTTAGAGCGCCCGCCTCATGAACGGGAGGTCGTGGGTTCGAACCCCGGCCGAGTCATACCAAAGACTTATAACAATGGGACCTTCTGCCTTCTAGCTAGGCGCTCAGCATATTAGATTGGAGAAGGGTAGTAATAACATATTATGTTATGCAGGGCCCGCTGGAAGAACAGTTTCATAACTGAAGTGGCTACCCTGGGTAAATAAAAGTTATTATTATTATTATTATACTACTACAACTACTATTATTGCAATTATCGCTATCATCACTATTATCTATTTGGCACTTTCAAATCATCAACAAACAAATGTACAGTGTACATAATTTCATTCTTAGAATGTAGACTAAACAGAAATTTCAAAGACACTGTTTCACCAGAGACGTCACCCTGGGAAAAGAATGGGTCAACTAAATGACTATGGCCAATAGGCCTTCCTCTCCGTGAGACAAATGTGGGCAAAACACCTTGTCTAAGGAATTAAGCACCGAGCAAGAATGGAACCCATGTCCTCTGATATGAGCGCTAAGGGCCTTAACCAGCATACCATAGTGCTTCTACTAAGCTGTTAATTAATCCTGACAAATTGTTATGGGAAGATTGAATTACAGTTTCTTAAAATGTTGCAAACTTAGCAAAGTGTTGCTTCAAAAACATAACATATTATTTCAGATCAGGAACTAATCCAAAAGTCCTCATTAAGGAACAAAGTTCTAGGACAGGTATTAGTTTTCATCATATCTGAATAATCAAAAAGACATTTATATTACTGTATTTGAAGAAAAAATCCCACCAACAGAATTTGACAGGTAGTGTTGGATCAGCAAGTTTATGAATGTTCCCCTTACCAGGATAATTATCACTAATCGAGAGCATAAATATCAAAGAAATAGACTGGATTATAATGTTACGATTTGAAATGAATGATTTAATAATTCAGTTTAACCTATTGACAACTGGATTCTCACATTCACATGGGCTTAATACAGGAGCCACCCGGTTTCAGAAGGCAATGGGTTAATTAGATCAAGTCATATATTTTTGCATCATTGTGTTATTTGTCAATGTTGTATGTATTGTATGTACTCACCCCATGAAAGCTGCCCTTATTGCGATGGTTCTGTACATGCTGGAAGGAATTGTGATGGCCAGGGAGCTGATCTTGAGGGTTAAAGGGTTTCCTCATCTTCTTCACCTAATTTGAACAACAAATAACATTCAAAGTACTTATTATTGAAAGGTATTACCGTATTTGCCGGCATAAAGGCCGCACCGCCGCACCCCAACTTTGACATTTCGTAGAGAGAGAAAAAAAAGAAAAAAAAGGAAAAAACTAGATGAAACTTCGACTGCGCGCAGTTGAAAATGATGCCTCCGTCATAGAGCAAGTTTACAAACCAAAACAGAAGAAATTTTTCAAATGCAAGTTTCATTGTAATCCATTAACAGGTTCTCAGAATATCGTGATTACAAGCAATATCTCATATACATATATGACCCATTGAGCTTTGACCTCATGACCCTAACATCTACTCAGTTCATTGGCTCTGCAAGATGTCCTGAGTTAAATAGTAATCCATCTGTCAGTTCTAATGAGAATGCGTTCACAAGCTATTTTTGCATACATAATGAGCCCATGACATTTGACCTTTGACCTCATGACCCAAGAATCTACTTAGTTCATTGGCTCTGCAAGATACATACATGATATAAGTTTGGCAGGAATCCATCAATCTGTTCTAATGATATTGCGATCACAAGCTATTTTTGCATACATAATGAGCCGCATGACCTTTGACCTTGACCTCAAGACCCCCAAAATCTAATTAGTTCGTCGGCTCTGCAAGTAACATACATGACCTAAGTTTGGCAGGAATCCATCAATCGGTTCTTGAGATAACGCGATCACGAGCTGTTTTTGCATACATAATGAGCCCTGTGACCTTTGACCTCGTGACCCCAAAATCTAATCAGTTCATCGGCTATGCAAGATACATACATGACCAAAGTTTGGCAGGAATCCATCAATCGGTTCTTCAGATAACGCGATCACGAGAATGGGACGTACAGACGGACGGACGGACAACCCGAAAACATAATGCCTCCGGCTACTTCGTAACGGAGGCATAAAAAAAACGGACCAAAGAAAATAATCATAATTTTCTCGTAGAACTCTATTTTTCCTACAAACTAATACCAAAATTATCAATCATTTTATAAATTTACAGGAAGTTTACCTAAAAAATGATCGTAATTTAGCAAATCTTCATCAATTTTTAGGCAGATTAGCACATTCATTGGACACTAGAGGGCGCTTCGCATGCATACAGAAACATGAACGGCCTGCCATAACCAAGCTGTGGCCATAATGTTATCCGGTCTTACCCCTATCGTACCGCCAAATGGAGAAAATAAAAAAGCTTTTGTATTGTTCTTAGAGATCTACCGAGGTTAGTTTGTCGCTTTAATTAATTAGATAATCTCAATTATAATTCAGAATTATCTTACTGAAAAGTTAAGAACACCGACGATTGCGCACTGCACGCTTTGAATCTCCGAAGCTGCGTTGGATTTGTTGCAACTCCCAGCCCGGTAGCTCCCCACCACAGAGTGTGTGAGCGAGGTATGATTTTGGTTACCGGACCATGCGCTGTCTAAGCCAAGGACATTTTTACAAGTACGATTTTTAGTACGAGTCTCTGGTCAGTTTTCTTCTTATTTCTTTGGTTGCACAACGATTAAAAAGATAACTTCTTCAAATTTGCTGCTGACGTGGTTCAGACTAGATCTTGTCCGATGTGTTTTCAAGTCAATTTTGTTAATATATTTTTTTGTATGAAGTTGCCTACAAATAATGGACGTGCTGTTTTGACTTGCGATTTTTACTGTTTCGGCGTATACGTCGCACCCCGACTTTTTGATATTTTCTCTTCCAAAAATACTGCGGCCTTTACGCCGGCAAATACGGTAATGATAATATTCAATAATTTGGTCATTTTGACCAAGGGAAGCCATGTCAGTATGAATACTGCTCTTCGGACGGCCCTGCAATAAGTCTTACTCCAGCATTGTCAGGTACCCAAGTACACTGGGGTAGAGTGGGACAAACGTGGGCAAAACACCTTGTCCAAGGATGTAAGCACCTAGCGAAGATGGAACCCAGGACCTCTCATATGAGCGCCAAGGGCCTTTACCAGCATACCATAGTTCTCCTACTAAGCTTTACATTAATCCTGAAAAATTGTTGTGGGAATATTGCATTCAAGTTTCTTAAAATGTTGCGAACTTATCATATCTTTTCAGATCAGGAACTAATCCAAAGGTCCTCATTAATGAACAAAGTTCTAGGACAGGTGTTAGTTTTTATCATGTCTGAAGAATTAACTAGAAAAAAAATTGACTTTGGGCAGTCGTAAATATGCCTGCAACATAATCAGTATTTTTTAACTATCAGATTAAAGGTAGTAGCCCTCATTTGCGGACCCTCCCTAATTCCGATGAAGTTTTATAAGTAGACCGCTCCCTCCCTCCTTCATCCAATCATCTCGCCAACAAACCCACCGATATCATCATTCTTACCTTCCCCATATCGTAATCATCGTTCCATGTACTCCTCCTCTTCATGTTGGCATGGTCTCTAGCAACCTCCTCATCGATGCCGCTCCGTCCACCATCCCAACTTTGCACTGCGGGAAGAAATGCAGGAACAAGCAAAAGTTACTAAAAGGATGCCAAGAGCTAGAACGGTGTAACTCCCAACATTCAACACAGCTTTAACCAGGGCCTCTAGTTAGAATTGATCAGAGGCCTGAGGGTCTGAAAATCACCTAGAATTAGCTATTTTGTACACCAAAAAAAAGAGTTCTGGTCATGTGATTGCATTGTGAAAGAAACGTTCAATTTTCCTTCAAAAGTGCAAGCATAGAAATACAATCCTATAGAGATTACTTTTCAGATCAGGAACTAATCCAAAATCCTCAAAATTGAACAAAGTTCTAGGACAGTGTTAGCTTTCATCACATCTGAAAATGATTTTCCCTAAACAATTGATTATTTTTGTTAAACAATGTTAAATCTGAGAAGCATGGCCCTACATGTTATCAGTGTCTGGTGTAATACTGAAGCCCTAAAAAAGATTGCACTTCAAAATGATCATGAAGTGCCACAAAAAAGTAAAAACCTTTGAGTGACCAGTTTTACCATACTCATTTTCCCCAATAAGGAAAGGAAAACAAATTTTTAAATTTTGATTTCCAATCATAGATATCTTGATAATCAGACAGGCGATCGGCTTGTAAAAGTCATAGGGTTCCTGACTGACCTAAAATTTTAGAATTATGATTGCAGCATGAGATTAATCCAGGATTTTATTTTAGAATCTGAGGCAATGTTACAGAGTCACTTTAATAGGGTCAAAATATTTTGTTGATCTGGGGGGTGTTTCACAAAACTTGTCATCAGTGACAAATGACAGTTGTTGTTATAAGCTCCTGAAATCCTTGCTTCTGATTGGTTATCAACAGATTTGTCACTGATATCTTTCATTTGTCATTGAATAAAGGCTTTGTGAAACTGGTCCCTGGTCTCTCTTACCCGATGGTCCGTATCCTTTGTGAGAGGATTTGTTGAGGAAGTCCATCACCTCTCCCGGAGGAGGTCTCCTGGTCCCATCCCAAGACTGGCTCATCTTATGAGGGGGGCCATCTCCACCCGGTCGCTGTGGATATCCACCCTGCTGAATGTGGTGGTCCCAGTGCTGGTGGGGACCTGCAGAAAAGGGTTTAAAAATGAACCGAAAATGAAAGCCCATCTGTACTAGTTTGGCCAGGAGGGATTAGACCATCCAGCAAGGTCACTGACAAGTTGCTCTCTTATCAACTCAGCTCACAATTAACATAAGAAATAGAGGATCATGGGGGACCAACGAGCACCACTTTGGCATTGTTTTCTATAAAGAGGGAGCAGGTAGCTACAAGTAGTACAATGGGGCTTTAAATGAAAGTTGGAATGATCGAATACAGACGACTCTGCAATTTTTGCGGCCTCCTTACTTCATGTAAGGGTAATATCAAAAGACATCAAAAGCAAATTGTTCATTTATTTTCCACAAAAGCATTGTCAAAACTTTGGGGTCACTCTTAATTCTAATTTCTAATGAAATGCAGTATTATAATTCAATGAGTATTGTGTTTTTACGAACTAAACTTTACCTCAAAATATAACATTCTATTGATATTGGATGTTGCATTTCGCTCAGTATTTGATGCATCACATTGTTAAGAATTCAGTTATATTTTTTCACTCGATCTACATATCCCACCTTCTTGTCTGAATCTCCTTTGGTCCTGCTTCCCGTAGCCATCATCATATCCATTCACCATCTTCTTCCTCTTGTTCCCCAGGGGTGCGCCGTACCAGTGGGCCTGTCCCTGCTGTTGTGGGGGGTGCGGCCTTTCCTCGTAATAGCCCTGCCCGCCGCCGGGATACTCCCGCTTCCTCCGTGGCCCCTGATTGTGAGGCCCCACTGGAGAATCCTCGTCATAATCGCTGTCCGTCGGTGAGCTGAATCTCTCTTGATGAAAGCGCTGTGGAGCTGGTGGGAACTTCTGATGGTGCAGACCGGAGGCTGGCTGTCCGTTCTTCTTCCTCTTGAAAGCAGCATTGCTCCCGTGATCGCTGTCCGAGTCGTTACCCGTCCCACGATATTTCCGGAATGCGTCACTCTCTGGTAATTTCTCACTCTTACCGACGCCCGTTCCTTTCTCACTCGTATCCTTCCTATCACTCTGTCCATTTGCTTCACTGGTCGCTGGTGGTTCTGCATCACTAACAAACTTCTTCGTTTTCTTCTTCTTATTCTTCTTGAGGGTGACTTCTGACCGTGATTTATTGTTTTTCCCGACCTCCTCCTCCTCCTCGCTATCACTATCATCACTTGAGCTAGCAGTGTCTTTCTTAAAATCTGAACCATTTTTTTTGCCATTGGAGCTTTGGGCATCAACCCCATGTTTTGTGATGGCCGACTGTTGATGTACAAGAAATGATTTACCATTGGATTTTTCCCTTTCCTTCCCAACACCAGAGCTACCTTGCACATCTGTCTGGGTGTCAGGCACACTCAGCTTAGTCCTGTCTTGGTTCACATGCTTGCCATTCAACTGCTTGGGAACAATACCAAGTTTTTCTCTTTTGCTCACAAAAGATTTTTCAGAAAAGGAGGGAGTTCTGTTTTTCAAACCGTTCCCTGCAGTCACGTCTTTCTTTGTTTTGCAAGGGGTTGGCTTTGTGGGGGAGCCAGTCCTTCTGTCCTCTCCATTATCAGGCCTGAACTTACCCACACCATTGCGGGAGGGGGAAGGCTTGACGCTCCAACCAACATGAGAGGCCTCTTTCTTAACTGCCTCTTCAACTGATTGCTTATCCTTCTTGTCATTCACAGCCCACTCCCTGGTAGAGTTGGAGGATTGATTGCTGTGGTTGCTGCTATCTGATGTGACTGACGGTGAAACCTGTTCATCACCATCTGTAACTTTCCATGGTGTTGTGCTCATAATGCGCTGGGCATTTCCATTTGTGGTGATTGTCAATTTGAGAGGTGAGTCTGTCTTGCGGATGGCAGTCAAGTTTATGCTGCTAGCAAGAGCAGACCTCTTTTCTCTCTCTCTCTCTAAAGCAGCTGCATCGGGGGGTTTCATGTCCGGATCCCCTTTCACCACCTCTTTGCTACCATTACTGGATGAGGCACCAGTATCTTTCACTGCACCCTTGCTCAAACGTTCTACAACGGCATCATAGTTTGTGTCAGAGTCACTTGAGGAACTCGAGTCATCATCATTGTCATATGGCACTAGAGACGAGCGCTTCTTGACCTTTGTCACTACTGTTGCCTTTGTCATCACTGTTGTCTTTGTCATCACTGTTGTCTTCTTCACCACTGTTGCCTTCTTCGGCGACTCGGTTGGTTTCTCCTCTTCCTTCGACTTCAGCAATCCGGGAGCTTTATGTTTCTTTGTTGCAACAGCAACGTCCCCATTATTCTTTGCCTTGAGTGGCGATTTCCCAGAGATGCTTGATGAATCACTTCGAGGCGGACCTGAGGCACCACCTTTGTCCAGGAGTGGATTGCCTTTGGTCTCCGCACTCACGCTACCTTGTGCCTGCTTCACGCTACCTGGTCCCTGCTTCACGCTACCTTGTCCCTGCTTCAAACTCAGCAGAGTGCTTGCGATACCTTTGCTCTTGATCACGAAGGACAACTTGTCTCTCTTCCCAGGTGGTGCGATCATCTGAGGCAGGTTGTGCTTGGCCATTGGGGTGAATGTCTGCGGCTTCTTTTCTGGCTCTCGGATGATCTTTGGCTTAGGAGTAAGTGGTGTGTGCGATGACGTTGGTGTAGTGGGCCTGGGAGGGGTAGGCTTGGGTCTGGCAATAGGTGTGCCAACTGGACCCTGATGAGGGTTAGAAGCCTTGTGGGTGATGCCAGGTGAGGTGGCTGTCTTTGGCATTTGTTTGTTGGTCTGCTGTGCCTGCATCTGTACAAAAGAAACGGGACAGCCTCATCAATATAATTTCAGATGCTTTTATTTTAGAATGTTCAAATTATTAAAAAATGATAGATGTCTTTATCCAATGTCCTCACAAAAGAATAGGTCTCAAGAAAACAAATTCTAGGACAAGTTTTTAGTAATGATCACTCCTGATTTTACTTGTACAACATTCTTGTGCCATTGATAGATGGCAGGACTTTTAAGGTGATATCAGAGCAGGGTTACTTTCAAGGGACACCTACTCTTAGGCCTGAAATCACGAAGGAGGTTTGTCAACAAACCTAGGTTTTCATGCGTCATATGACGTACATAAACCTAGGTTTGTCAACAAACCTCCTTTGTGAATTCGGGCCTTAAAGTTGAGCCTACCATAATAATTGTGTGGCACTCTATGGGTGTAACCTATTACCTGATTGTTCCCATTGACATTGGGCTTGGGAGGTTTCCTGATGTAGAAGAGGACGTAGGCATTCTGGTTGAGCACCCTGTTCAGACTGCACTGACTGACGTAGGAGTCATTCATGCAGTACCAGGACTGGTTGGGGGCGCGCACGTAGCAGTAGTAATGGCCAGAGTTGCAGGAGCCACCCTCATGCTTCAGGACGGCGTAGAGCTGGTAGCCGACGGCAGGACCCTGAACAGAAAAAGAGGAGTAATGTGAGGGTGAATAGTATAGGAATAATACACAGCAGTGAGGGCATTAGTAAGAATTACCCACACAAGATATCTTTGGAACAGTCTAACCAGCCTGAGGTGATAGCCAAGGGCGTTTGGACTGTTTTGAAGGTACCGAGTGTGGGTAATTTTTACTAATGCCCGAACAAAATGATGTGTATTATTTGTTTTATAAGATTATGTTTTATTTGTTTTATAAAATGATGTTTTCTAACATGATTTTGCTAATGACCGGTCATTAACCAAATTATACGTTAGTCAAAATGTATGCCTGATCCCGTGTATGCTTTCAACCAATCATTTGATTAGGATCCACGTCATCATCTTAAAAATTGGGATAACAGCGATGTGAGGGTAAATTTGAGAGTAGTTGGATGATCAAGTTTTTTTTTTTAAAGCACATTCAGCCAAACATCACATTGATCTGTAGTTCAGCAATCAAGAAACAAGAAATGGTGAGAAAATACGTTTTGGAGGCCAACAATCCTATAAGTCACAGCATGGGATTGCCAGATCATAAAGGGGTTACAACCTAAATATTTTGCAGGTACACTGTATATTTATGCCCAATTTTCCTTCAAAAGTGCAAGCATAGAAATACAATCCTATAAAAATTACTTTTCAGATCAGGAACTAATCCAAAATCCTCAAAATTGAACAAAGTTCTAGGACAGTGTTAGCTTTCTTCACATCTGAAAATGCTTTTCCCTATTAAAATACATTATTTTCATCAATATTTAACAATCAATTAATAAATCTTTCACAAAACCCAAACTTTCTGATCTTTCAAATTAACTTCATGCAGTTTCTCATTTTAGCCTGTTAAATGTATCTGTTAACATCAGGGGTGATAGTGAGCACTCAACCACCCCCCCCCCCCTATTTGAGTAGGAAAATTAGGAAAAAATAGGGAAAATAGGGTAAAATCGGGAGGGGGGGGGGGAATCAGGAGAACAAAAACAAACAAAAAAATTGGGGAAAAAAGACCAACTCACTTTGGTTTCACTCATGAACGGCCGAAGATTGAGGTATTCTGAGTAGCTCACTTCCTTGTTGATCTTACCCATGCTGAAGCGGTTGAACTCAAACCTGGAAGAAAAAAAACATTCCAATAATAATAATAAGAATATTCCACTTTTATTATATAGCGCTTAATACAAATGTCTCTATTAAAGCGCCTTAATACAAATGTATTACAAATGTCTCTAAGCGCTTTACAGATATGCTATTACCCTGGGCATTGGATTCAATACTTGCCCACACACACTATGTGCACAATCTCCACTCACTGGGGAGCATTCCAGCCAGGCGTTACTTAACGCTCAAAAACTGTTTGTCCAACAATGAAGGTCTCATCCTACCGGGTACCCATTTAACACCTGGGTGGAGAGTAGCAGGTGCAGGTTAATATCTTTCCAATAGAGATACACCAACCAGAATTCTGTTCTTGATAAACTAAATCATTATCCAAGAAAACTGTGGTATTCTCAATGAGTCAAACATATGTGCATTCAAATTCAAAGTCAACAACACAAATTTGTTGTTACAATGGTTATCCTCTAGTATGTTGCCATGACAATATAAATATCAGGACAAGTCCAAGGTATTTGGTCATTTGGCATCCCAAACATATAGCTACTGGGAGTTCTGAACATAACTTGACATCAAGATGTGTCATTTCACTTCATATTTAGTCTGATCCAAGCTCTAGTAGGGCTATACAGCTAATTAATACAATAATCAGATATACCAAAATCTTAGATGTTTCAGATGAAATAACTGACTTGCCATTAGATTTTTCAATAACTTCAAAGTACAAGTCATAATTTCATACTTCTCTAGCTCCAATGATTTTTTCGTTATCATGTTTCCAAAAGTTGTGAATATTTTCAGATCAGGAACTAATCCAAAGGTCCTCATTAATGAACAAAGTTCTAGGACAGGTGTTGGCTTTCATCACTTCTGAATCATTTCTTAGACTTTGTTTTCTTCAAATTCACCATAACCAAGTAAAGATGACACGATTAAGAGTTTACTTACAGCAAAAAAAGCAAATGTATTATCATTATTATTATTATAATTACTAATACAGTACTTTTCCCATGAGGCCCAAAGCACTTACAGTAAATCACAATTATGAATTCATTTTCTCATGAAACCTGAGCTTTCTATTGTAATATCACAATCCCAGTTACTCTAATGTAATGACGGTTATCTTTTTTAACTTAATAAAAAATAAAAAAAGTAATTACTTAAACTACAAATTGTAGAGATTAAAAAATATCACCATCATTTCTAAAATTTCAAACAAAACAAGAAAGAAAAACAGCAAACAGACACACAAACTAGATCAGTTTAATAGATAATTATTGCTTTTTACAACTTAAAAGTGGTCAGAACCTTACCTCTTCAGGCAAAGTGTGAGTATATTGGGACATCGGTGTATCGTGAACCTCTTCTGTGCTAGCACTTTTCTGTTGCACCTGAAAAGACCCATTCAAAATGATACAAATACATTATATTATTATCTATATAAGGCTTCCAAGCAGTACAATAAATCAGTGTATTTAATATCTTTAGCGCAGTACCCGGATGACTGACCGGTATTTTTTCGTATTGCTCAGTCATCCGGGAACTTCAACTATCGATATCGATACCATGGCGATATCACACGAAAACAAAGCCATATTTACTGAGGCAAGTCAAATTTGTTATTTTGCTAGACAGACTAATATAGATAATAATAATAATATTGTATGTCTTTTTTTTTGTGTGATACAAGAATATATTGCTCTCACTAAGACATTATTAGACTCGTCCAATATTGTCATAGCTCGAGCAATATATTTTTGTATCACACTCAAGGTCATCCAATATTATATGATTATTTCTCTTCATGACAGTGGAATAATACATTGCTATGTCTATGTTACAGATAAATGATTATGTTACTGGTTTAAGATTGGATCTCTTCACAAGGGTATACTCATATGTCTCCAGCTCCACTGATTTGTTTATTATGCTTTGAAAGTCGTCAATATTTCCAGATCAGGAACTAATCCAAAGGTCCTCATTAATGAACAAAGTTCTAGGACAGGTGTTAGGTTTCATCACTTCTGAATCATTTCTTAAACTTTTTTTCCAAATTCACCATTACTCTAGTGCAACCAAAGTACACTGCTGGGCATTCAACATGAAGCAAAGTTATAGGTCCAGTTACATGGAGTGTTAAAGCCTGTATGGTTTCAAATTTAATGGTAATATTGTAACAGGATCTACCACTCAACATGAATACTCTTGGAATCTTTGAACATGCAAATATTAGTAACTTTGTTTCAAACTTTCTATTTTATGCGAACTAGCTAGTAGTGCACTATACATGTAGATGAAAGTAACCATAAACCATCAATTAAATAGCCTACTTAACTTATGAAGGTTTTAATAAAAAGTTTTCTTACCTTTTGCATTGGTACGCATTATCCCCATCTAGCATTTCAGATTGTATAAGTCTATTCAAGGCTTTGTGAACAGAAGGAGCATGCTGGAAAAAAAAGCGAGGTCAAATCAAAATCACGAATAAAAGGTAGGAAAATAAAACAAAATAAACATTGCTTAGCAATGTGATTGAATTAGCCATTTTTGAAACTTTGAACAGCAGGATTCATCCTAACCAACCAAAGTGGGTGTTTCTTGGCCCAGAGGTCATGCTGTCATCAGTCCATTTTACCTATATATCTACTTGGATTTTACACTTTAACAATTCTGAGGGAAAGTTATGAAAAAAATTGATTGGATAAGGCTTAGGAAAAAGATGTTCATTAAAGACAATCATGCTTGAAATTTACTCCCCCACACCTCTTCGATGCGGATAGTAGTAATGTTAAAGATAAAATGACTGAGATGCCATTAGATTTTTCAATAATTTCAAAGTACAACTTATAATGTCATATATCTCTGGCTCCACTGATTTTTTTAAAAATAATTATGCTTTGAAAAGTCGTGAATATTTTCAGATCAGGAACTAATCCAAAGGTCCTCATTAATGAACAAAGTTCTAGGACAGGTGTTACGTTTCATCACTTCTGAATCATTTCTTTTTTTTACTTCAAATTCACCATTACTAAGTAAAGATGAAAAGATGAAAGACTGTACTTACAAATGTTTACTTACAAAACATGCAAACGTAATATGAATAAACTTCCTCATGAAACCTGAGCTTTCAATTGGATAAGGCTTAGGAAGAAGATATTCATTAAAGACAATCGTGCTTGAAATTTACTCCCCCACACCCCCATCTATTGATAACAATTTTATAAAATTTCACTCAACAGTTACCACGAAGCATAAAAAAACACCAAGCTGCAAATGGCCAAAATAGGCATTTATTACCTAACATGAGGAGGTGCCATGGTCAAGTGGATTGAGGATAACATGGTTTGTGGTTTGAATACCACCGCAAGACCAATGTCCTTTGGCAAGGCATTATTCTAAATTTGCCACACTCGACCCAGTTGAGGTAAATGGGTACCAGACAGCAATTAATTCCTTGAAAGAGCAACATTATGGCAGCCACGCTAAAGCCTGGGTAATAATTGTGTAGCGCAAAGTGTGTCAAGCCGGACCGACGTGAGCACAAAACAAGAACCTACTATTATTATCATTATGATGTATTGTGGTGGAATCACCCCCACCTAGCATAACCAGGGGGGGGGGGTTTTCACAAAGATCCTAAGTTGAACTTATCTCTAAATTGGACTTAAAAATATGGAAAGCCATTAGCATATATGAAAATATTTTGTAAAAGTCATTTTAAAGGCATGAAATGTTGATTCAATCCATTCGTATTTTCCATTATCAAGGAGATGTCCTGTTTTTGATGTGGAATTTTAAAAAATTCTAAATTACTGAAATTTTCGCTTTTGAATATATTTCATTTTAAGGCTACACATGGCTCTCCATAATTTTTAAGTCACACTTAGAGTTAAGTTCAACTTAGGATGTTTGTGAAACACTCCCCTGGCCTTTGCAAGGTTGAGACCCTGAGGAAATGAAAGCCTACTTGGGTCACTCACCTTGATGTCCAGACTGATGTCCAAGAAAGGGTCAAAGGTGTCTGATTTACTCTGACATGCTGCACATATCACTGTAAGAAACGGAGAACGATGAGTATGTGATTACACAGAATCAAAGAATGTGATCTTTTTACACTTGAATAATGGTACCTCTCATTCCATGACCTATGCTAAGGATATAAAAGATGTATATGCCCAAATGAGAACATGTTGTCGCCCTGCAGACACAGAGACAACTGGCTATTTCAAGGGTTCAGGTAACAGACATGCTATCAAAAAGGTTGTAACCTAAAAATAAACAAAATTATGGCATGGGAAATCTTATTACTGAACAGGTCTAAACAATTTCATATACGTCAGATCAGGAACTAATCCAAAAGTCCTCACAAAAGAATTTGTCTCAAAGAAACAAATTCTAGGACAAATTTTTAGCTGTCATCACATCTGATTGTACTTCCATAAAACCCTGTTTACTTCCCAAAGGCATAGAGTAACACTGTTCGAGAGCTGAAAATGAAATAATTAGTGTTGTAATTTACCTCTGCTTCTGTAGTAGCCTCCGAATATCTGATGTACAGGACTGGTTTCCTTGCTGTACCTATCCAGTCTGTCAAATAGAAATAATTCCATCAAAAAACATTGCCATTATCTCTACTAGTTATGATGATCATAACAAAAGATACTTACTGGGCTCTAATTTGATTATAATTGCAAGAAGCAGTTTCCAGTTAAAAAGATAGTAAATTACAATATGACTTGGTCAAAATGGTTATAGTCACCACAAGATACTCTCACATATTCAGTACTAAGTTCATAACATGGTCTTACATAATCAGTACTGTGAATAATTTGAAATCCATAGAAATAATACCGAGGAACAAATGCACCATATTAAGCGCAGGAATGCAATACCTTCTCCAACCACACCTTTATAATAGCTAATGAGGAGTTCTGATCATAAATTGACATAAAAATGTGTCATTTCACTTCATATTAAGTCTGCTCCAAGCTCTAGTAGGGCTATACAGCTAATTAATACAATAATCAGACATACCTAAATAACTGACTTGCCATTAGATTTTTCAATAACTTCAAAGAAGAACTTGTATTTTTGTATGTCTCCAGCACCACTGATTTGTTTATTATGCTTTGAAAGTGGTGAATATCTCCAGATCAGGAACTAATCCAAAGGTCCTCATTAATGAACAAAGTTCTAGGACAGGTGTTAGTTTTCATCACTTCTGAATCATTTCTTAGACTTTTTTTTCAAATCACTACTACCAAGTAAAGATGACAACATGAAAAACTTTACTTAGAAATGTTAACTTACAATATTTGCAAACGTAATATGGATTGACTTTCTCATGAAACCTGAGCTTTCTATTATATCACAATCCCAGTTATCCTAATTTAACGATTTTTATCTTTTTTGATGTAATAATAAATAACTTCAAACCTTCAATTAGTTCAACTTGTAGAAATTAAAATTTCACTAAAGCCAAATCAATGAGTCGATTCTACATGTACAGGTGATAAATTTTCGTATTCTGCGACTTAATGATGTTTCTATGCAAAGGTGGGTAGATTACTTATTATCATATCCACTAAGACAGGACTTCTGCATTGCTTCTATGACATAGCGTAGGAACTCGTGTGCGTCTTCCTGCCGTCCTATATGCATGTGCTTGGCTATACCTAGAGACAAAATCAAAAGTAGAATTGTATGAATTTGAGATTCAGGAAAATTCATTTGTGAAAAGAATCTACCGTATTTGCCGGCGATAAGGCCGCACCGCCGCATAGGCCGCACCCCAACTTTGACATTTCAAAGAGGAAAAAAAAAAACCAACGGACAAAAAAAAATAATCGTAGTTTTCTCGTAAAACACAATTTTGGTGGCCGATATATACCCGTACCACAATGTACGGTGTAATGCGAAACTGCATGAAATGCGAAACTGCATGAAATGGAAAACAAAATGGCGACTTTGGATGGACGCTTAGCGACAGGTCCGTTAAATGGTCCCTTCCTTTACTTTTGCAATGCATTGGCACGAACTTAGATCAAGATCTATATGGCAAATGTTGGTTTAGCAATTTATTTTTGTATTCATGTCAACAATGCAAGATAATATTGTCGGTAAGATGTGTTGAAATGTCCTGTACTATAGTGGTATAGTTATTTTACCATATGTAGTCTCATATGTGCAAATTCGTGCTGGTTTTGACTTGATTTTTTTTACTCTTTTGCCGTAAAGGCTGCACCCCGACTTTTTGATATTTTCTCTTCCAAAAATACTGCGGCCTTTACGCCGGCAAATACGGTATACATCATATCATAATTCAATAATGGTAAAATCAATAGGTATCAATACAACAACAACAAATGACAATGAGCAGGTTAAAAAAGTGGTTACACTCAACGGCTGCCTGTTAAGTTTATAGAAAGGTACTATTTTCTTCTTTTTTTTAATTATGTGGAACACGTTCTTTAGTCAAATAGCCTGGTTCAATTCAATTCATATATTTTCCTCTTTCAATTAATGGTTTGTTATGGGTTTGTTTTCTGTATACACCCAATGTAAAACTGACCTTGAAGCATCCAAGGGGAATGGTTTGGACAGACCAAATTATTTTTGCAAGTTGGGATTATTTCTTACTTTTGTCATTGACAATTTTCCTTGGTACAGTGAAACCTGCCCAAGGGAGACAAGAAAAGTGGTCTTTATAAGCAGGTGGTCTTTATGTTCAGGTTCCTTTAGTACATGTTCCAATGAGAAACCATTTTCAAGGGAAACAAAATATGTGGTCTCTGTAGACAGGTGGTCACTAAAGCAGGTTTGACTGTATTTGTATTTCTGGAGTTCCCCACATTTGGTATAAGCGCCAAGTGAGATATACACTGGCAAGAGCCCAGACTATAGATATACAGAGCCATTAGAAGAAGAAAGAACACTTACTTTTGAGTTTGTGTATCATGTTCATGGGTCTAATGGCTTGGTTTGGATGCTGGAAGGCACGCTGGATGTGTGTGTAGAGGTCACACAGGATGCAGAAACCATATGATCGACCTGAGGTCAAATATCAACAAAGAAGGTCATTAGAGATACCACAACAGACAAGTCTTCGAAGGGCTCTTGTGATATTTAAGGATTAAACAGAAGAAATCAAGACATTATCAAGAGGGCAACCTTTTTTGTATGTTAGCATCAAGATTCTAGGCCATGCTTTGATAATATTAACATCTAAGATGTGGTCAGTAATGTTTAAGATAAAATAACTCACCTGCCATTAGATTTTTTAATAACTTCAAAGTACAACTCATAATTTCATGCGTCTCCAGCTCCACTGATTTTTTGTATCATGCTTTGAAAAGTTGTGAATATTTCCAGATCAGGAACTAATCCAAAAGTCCTCATTAATGAACAAAGTTCTAGGACAGGTGTTAGGTTTCAACACTTCTGAATCATTTCTTAGACTTTTTCTTCTTCAAATTCATCATTACTAAGTAATAAGATGACAAGATGAAAAATTTTATTTAGAAATGTTTACTTACAAAAACAAAAATGCAAACGCAATATGGATTGACCACGCCATACGAAAATATCACATAGGTATCAAACAAATCAATTTCTTAAAATGTAATCAATGCGGCTCATTCTATGGTATCACTTGGCCCGTGACCATTGAAAGTGTCATGAAATAGAACTAGGGTCATACGTTTTAAAGACTGTCTGCACTAGATTGGCCACGGGGGATTAGACCTCCCTGCAAGGCCACTGACATGAGTTTATCTCATCAAATCAGCTCTCAATTAAGAAAAAGGGGATCATGGTGGACCGACAGGCACCGATTAGGCATTGTTTGCTATATAGAGGGTGCAAGTAGCTGCAGTGGGGCTTTAAACTTCCAACCTTTCAGGGAACATACCCCCTCAACCTATTTCAAACTTACACTCCTCCTTGTGTTGATGGCTGAGCAGGTAGTTCGCCAGAGGGGCTGTGTAGGTCAGGCACTGCAGGGTGGAGTTGAGGAAGCAGGTGTTGCCCATGTTGATGAGGCCGCTGCCGACTCGGTTACACTTCTGCCAGTCCAGCCGCACCCTCTCCGGCTTGTAGAGCACCTGCTTGGGGGCCGGGATGCCATCCGACTTGCTTTGGCTCTCATCCTGAAGGCTCATCTTGCCTGCAAATAATAACAAGAGCAATCAAACTATTAGGAATTTTTGTTCAGTTTAGTTCAAGTTGTTTGTTTGGACTAAGGTATTATCATAAAGTAAATCACAAGTCAAATTTAAAATGAATTTTAAAGTAGCTGAAGCATTCTACCTTACATGTATTCAATAAGATTTTCAAGTCAGTCGCTCTTAGATCAATTGACACGACTGCACTCGCTTCAATTTGCTGCTAACAGCTCAAATACAGCTCAAATTCAACTTTCGTGTCCCTAAGTCTATCTTCAATTAATTCAAATTATATAAGCAAAAGCAAAATCACCTTAACTCATTCATGTCATTTCTATTTAGCTCAACTAACTGCAAGAACATAGATAGTGTTTTCTAGTTTTTTTTACACATGATTCAGTCAATTTGCTTTAAAACCCGAATTCTTGATGACAACCTTGGAGCAAATGTCTAACCCCAGCCTCAACCTAGCCTTAAACTAAAATGCAACCCATACCTTAAAAATACAGTAAACAAAATAATGTCTATAGGCAACCCAACCCTCCTTCCTAAACAAACCTTTGTGTGAATATCCTTGGGACTTCTTAGAGCCTTCACCCTGTAAGTTTGACTTGGCTGCATTCAATGGGACATATTTCCCTCGCAGATTCTGGAGACGAAACGAAATGTCTTTCTGTGCTGCCTGGAAATCTACATGCTTCAATAGTACCTGCCAGTGAAAAATATTTATTGAGAAATATTAACAGATCAAGATAATATATGGATGACATATCAGCTGTAAACAGAAAAGATTGGGTTCTCTTTGTTTTCTAATTTTCTATATTTTGTCAACCCAATGATGTTTGATTCCTACTAGTATTGAAATTAAAAGGTACTATACTGCTGAAACTTTGTGATTACATGTTGACAAATAGTGCATTCTTGCCAGTAAATCGTCCATTTATATCTAAACTAGTTGAGGAATGTGAAGAAAAAAATAGCAAATGTTAGAGACAGCAGTTATTTCTTTTCAATATCATTACACACATACATGACAGTGACTTTACAAACAGTAAATTGAAAGAGAAATCATGTAGGTAACAACAAATTTACAAACACACACATCATGTTGAATTGAAAGGTTTATATTGGAGTGGCAGTGTTGAGTAGATAGCAGGATAAATCTACAATGTAGATCAGTGGGCAAGCAAGTTCAGATGTTATGCTAACCTGTTTCGAAGAAGACACCAGGTGCTTGTCCAAGTCAATGTCATAAGCCTTTGTCCCGCTCCCTTCTCGATCACCAGACTTGGCCTTAGACTTGAAAAGGTCTCGCCGCAGAGTGTCGTCTATCGTCATTCTCCCCCTAGCAAAGAAAGGTAAAGATTAGTGAACATGGTACATGGAAAAAGAATGTCCTAAAATCTCTCCTTCATACATGACAACAACTTAAAGGCCGTCTGTACTAGTTTGGCTAGGAGGGATTAGACCACCCAGGGTGGTTACTGACAGGTGGCTATCTCATCAACTCAGCTCTCAATTAAACATAAGGACCTGAGGACCATCAAATCCTAAAGGACGATCTCCAACAGCTGTCCAGGTGGTCTTCAAACTGGATGATGGACTTCAACGTGAAAAAGTGCGCTATCCTCACCATCACACGGAAGCGTACTCCCAGCATCCGAGAATACCACCTGTCAAATGGACTGATTCCGAGAGTGAAAGAGTACAAGTACCTAGGAGTAATGGTTGCTGCTGATCTCCGTTGGAACAAGCACTGCCAAACCATCCGGCATAAAGCAAGCCGTACCCTAGGTCTTCTTCGCAGGACTCTCTCACCCTGTACCAGGGATGTAAAGTCCAGGGCCTACACAGCCTTAGTGCGCCCCCAATTGGAGTATGCCTCGGAGGCTTGGAACCCACACAGCGTCACAGTCACAAAAATGCTAGAGCAAGTACAAAGAACAGCGGCTCGCTTTGTGTACCGTGACTACAGATACACCACATCACCATCAGCTCTTGTGGCAGCTCTAGGGTGGGACACGCTTCACACACGTCGAATCCTCGACCAATGCACCCTTCTCTACAAGATCCATCACCGACTTGTCTCCATACCTGCACCAACTATTGTTATCCCTGCTACATACTTCGGAAGACATGACCACAACCTGAAGTATGTAATTCCTGTTGCAACTATCGACTCCTTCAAGTTCTCATACTACCCAAGAGCAATAAGGATCTGGAACCATCTGCCAGGCTCAGCAGTCAATGCAACAGGAATAACCAACTTCAAGGAGGCTGCTCTACCCTCCATCAGAATGATGCAGCCCCCCGTTGGTTCTCACATCATATAAGCTTACTAGCTTGGTTTTTACTTGCACTGGACTTAGCATATTTTACTGTAAATTGACAAGTGCTTTGTCCACACACCATTCCAGCAATTCATGACACTCCTTGTAGTCACTTGCCTCACCTACCATCCCAGTATAGCTTCCTGAGTGAGCTGCCAAAGGGATTACCCAACCAAGTACCAAGGAACAGAGGATCATGGGGGACCAATGGTCACCGATTTGGCATTACTTTCTATACAGAGGGAGCAAACTTGTAGCTATAAGTAGTACAGTGGGGCTTATAAAGGTGATGCTGCAAATGAAATACCAAGCGTAGTGGTATCCCACGTCTGGATATTATTTCCAAAATTTGATATTATTTCTGTACACAGAAATTAATTTTGAGTCACATTCAAGTTTCAACACCAATGCCCTCCCACTTTCTTTATAATTTCGACTGCATGTCTACATAGATCTCTAAGAAGAATCTATCATTAATTGGCATTGGCTTCTTTAAAGATAAAGTTGAGTTCTGGTCATGCGATTGCATTGTGAAAGAAACGGTGTGGAATCAACCAGAAAAGGTTGATCATCTAGCATAAAAGAATTTGTGTGTATTGCAAGGTTCTGAAATCATCAAAATGATAAGAAATTTGGCCAAGTCTTGGTAAAGTTACAAACACTGTACACAGAAAGATGTATATGGGACTACACGAACACGTGGCGTAAAAATCCTACCCCCGAGTTTTACGATGTTACACGACATATTTAGAATATGAAGGCATTTGAAGAGCCATGCTTTTCAGGGAACATGTCTTATCTGATGTTCTTCCACACTTGCATAATAAGAATGATAACGCTCACAAATTATTTTTCACCTCTTTCCAGAACTCGACCTTCTCTTTAACTTCCCAACTCAAATTTATACCTGCTCTAAACTACTGACTCTCCGTACTCCCAGTAACCAACTTGCCCAATAAAAATCAGTCACAAAAGTCCACCGATGTCTCGCGCATGAAACTCTTGTTTGTGTTGGGGGGGGGGGGGGGTGAGGAGGCAGTTGCAATATTTGTCTCTGAGATTGAAGCGCTTGCCTGCAAATGCGCGCTGTGACCAAGAAAGGCACAAAATGAATACGAAGCGGCTCTTTTCCAGAACTGACATTGACGATAGATTTCTGATTTAAAATTCAAACATCCGCGAGTTGAATTGAATGTATTCTCTTGTTATTTTAGAGTAGAGGAGCCGGTTTTCGGCCACTTAAGACAAAATCCTATTTTGTTGGACTCTTTACTTCCTATTTATTATCATTTCTTGTTCAAATCATGAAGAAAATATTATTATTATTTAAACAAAAAAAGAATCCCAGAAAAAAATCACGAATTGCCATGACAATATTCATTTCAATTTTCACTGTTTTGGAGCCAGTTATCGACCTAGCGAGTCGGTTTTCGACCGCATGTACAAAGTCAATAGGAAGCGCTCGCGCACGCCGTGCGTTTCCGCGCTGATCTATAGCACAAGCGGGCGGAGCAGGTATCCCATGCCGGAGCTCCCCAGTGCTCGTCTGGTCGAAAACTAGCACTGCCGTGATCAGAAATTGAAATCTGAATTAGACGGACATATCGTGTGTGCGTTGCAGTGTGCGGCTGCATTGATTTAATACATGCGATGAGATACTTTTGAGCTTGCGACTAACACAAAATCGGGCTGTAAATCTGAAAAATACTTGAAATAAAGCTCATTTTCTGGTACCCATATTTCTTACAGACACGCGAAGATACTCGATTTTTCAGATTTGGGTAGCGGGACAGCCGATTACATCGCTAAAATGTGATATTTTAGGATATATTTTCCATTGCAAATGTGGTTCTTCAGTGACTCTGGCATGGTATGGTATGTGTGGGATATGTGATATGCTATTATGCGATGTATTTTAAAGGGATTTTACCATGAATCCAACAGATCGGCCGAAAACTGGAGCTGGTCGATTACCCCCTCCTTTACTCTAGGCTTTTTAGAACTCTACGTTTAAATGTCGTTTTAATGTCATCAATTGTCACGGCAGTGCAGATTTTTAATGAATTCTGCCATTTCCAGTAGGGGCGCTGGTCCGAGAATAAGGATCGTCTTCATAAACGAGGATCGTCTTCTTTAACACAAACCGGTGCGTCCTCAAAAATAAGGACCATCTGCATTTTCGCAGACGTTTCATATTTTTGATCGGCGCAGTGGCGATTCCAAAAACAGATTCTGCAATGATTTTCTTGATGCATTTTACATTGACTTTGTACAGAGACCTTCACATTATGAGCAATAAATACTTGGGAAGACGGACAACCCATAAAACTAAAAGTAGACGGTGAACTAGGGTTATTTTCCCCTGGGGAATCCATTTTTGGCATCGCCAGCAGGCCGTTCTGTAACATGAAACCCCCAGAGCGCCAATGAAAAAAAACATCCTCGAAAATGCAGACGACCCATATTTTTGAGGACGCATTTTGTCCTCGTTTATGAGGATATCCTTGTTTATGAGGACGGTCCTCATTCTCGGACCAGCGCCCCTACTGATTTCTGGTGATTTTGTACAATCATCAATATCGTTTGGAAAATTTGAGATACAATAGTCTAGAGCCAGAGCATTGCAGAGGGTGTCTTCACTTTTACCTATAAAGTATAGGCCACTAGATCTAGGCCTACTATTATGCTCATGCTGCATGCTACGAGAGGGCAAAGCCGATGCAATGCCTCGCCGCTGCGCCGCGCCGTGTGTAGGCTATCCGCATGTACATGTAGCATGCGCTCTCCCGCCACTGTGTACTTAGTGTACATGGACATACGCAATGCATGGGATCTCCAGCTCCACGAGCGTTCTGTCACGACATCATGTTTACCAGAACATATTGAACACTTCTTATACGTTGGAAATGGTAGTCTCTCCTCCTTAAAAGGAGTCAATTCATACCCAGTTTTCTCACAATTAAAAAGTGGTTTAGTGGCATTTACTTACCAAAATAGTCAAAAGTTACACAGGGTTTATTCTCAGTTAGTCCCACATATTCAACGCTGATGTACGGAAGCCATGAAGTGAGCCTTTAAAATGAAATTGTACTAAAAGATAAAATATTTATGCAGCTTTATTCCATTTAGATTTTTCGTTAAAATATAATTTAGCCATAATCATTATTTAAATGCATTTAAATGGTATACATATAACATTTTAGGTAATTTTTATCATATCTACGATTATTAATCTTATTGAGCCTATTTATGTTACAAAATGGCAGCCTCCATGTGAAGTTGATGGCAAATTACACTAGTCGTGACTGAAATCTAATCGAAACTTTGCTCAAATTTGAGAACATATTTCCTACATGAACTCTACTACTGTGTATTTAAGAACACATTTATTTCATCATTTTCTTCAATTAATGAACTTGTAAGTCAAAATCACAGAAATGTTTAAATTTGTGAACCAATCTTCGGCAACCCTTGTCGCAGCCGTATGTGCGAGGACACACCACCTCCCGCTTCTTTCGGCCCCGTGTCTCCAGGGGAGGGGAACAGAAGTTGCCCGTCACTCGTCCGCGTCCGCAGCTCTTTCAGTTCACAGCTGTAGCAAACGGCAAGCCGCTGGGCCGGGCAAAAGCATAGGTGGTGCTGCGGAGGAGTGGGCTTCAGCTTTATCTTCGACACATTTTCTTTCCAACGCCACATACTTTAGAAACAACCAAGTATTATTATCATGCAGTGAAAGGCTAGTTTGGGGAACAAGACATCAGTACAAGGAATTTTCATCATCTTCCAGTTCAACTTCAAGCACAGAGCCAGGAATAACCGAAAAGGAACTGAAAAGGGAAATTGATGATTTGACCGACAAATTCATGGAGACCAGAGAACTCCTGGAAGATGCTGTAAGATTTTAAAGTTGAATTTAATGTAAAGCTTGTAGTTGTAGAGAGTGTGGAAAAGCTTTGGAATCCAGGAATGAGTTCAAATATATGCTAGCATTAGCAAATAAGCAATACAAAAATTAGTTTGAGAATGAAGCCAAGATTGAGCCCAGTTATACTTGTAGTTTGAACTGATTATTGAGAAATCATTGAAATGTTCTCTGACTCTGCAGCTCTGACCCTGAACAGTGGAAGCGCACAGATACACACCCAATAATATTAATAATATGCACGATTTTCTTCTATTTGGGAGAATTTAGACCAAATTTATTATAGGCTATTTAGGAAAATTTAGACAAAATTTATTATGTAGGCTATTTGGGAAAATTTAGACAAAATTTATTATAGGCTATTTGGGAGACAGCTTCCCTCAGATTTGTATTGGGATATCAATTTCCTTTATTTACATTTGCTGCACAGGGATTAACTCAGCTCAAAATCAAAGATGAGATGAGCAAATTCCTCATTAAAAAAAAAAAGTTTTGTTATCATCCACACACATAACTTTTTTTCTTTTGTAAGCTAAGTCTCCAATACAGGAGAAAGTCTCCCAAATCTGCTCTGTGCATCTCTACTGCTAGCTGTAATTATATATATAAATATAATTATAAATATTTTTGCAAAGTTGTCAATGAGCTTTGACACCGGTTTCAAGGAATGTGTTCACTATCTTCATTAGATGTAAACATAGTCTACATTCCATATTTTCTACTTAATTAACCTTATGCAAAATGAAAATAGACTGAGTGCAATAAACTTTAATTATAATCTGATGAGTCTACTTTGGCCTTGGTATTGTTATGATATTTAAATTTAGGTTTAACTCTCGGTAGGATATCTTTTATGATTGTTTATTATTACTTTTGTTATTTTTTTAAAATTATTATGATCATTATCATTATTGTTATTGTTGTTATTTTCATCTTGTGCTTGTTTGTTTGTTTTTCCATCATCTAGCTGAGTTGGTGTTAAAATAAGACTTTACTTGAATCCTATGAATTTGCAGTAGTTCTCGTGATCGCTATTTAATTACTAGATTTATGTTTAATTTCTATTTCAATTTTCCATCACATTCTTAATTAATTGTTTGATGAACTTATACTCTTATCTTATGTAGATAATAGGCATAAACCTAGTCACTTCATGTAGTTTCTACTGAAATATTCTTTGCAAAACAAGAGTTTTAGTGTAACAAGTCAGCTAAGCAGAAAAGAGGAAAGCTTACAATTATTCTAAATGACAGTACTTCAAGCACATCTTCTTTTTTCTTTGTTTATTTGTTGATGTGTGTGTGTGTTGATTCTTTCTTTAAGTGCCTTGAATGGGAAACACAAAGCACTGCATGTGACAGTACTTGTACCTTGTTTTTAATTGCAGATGGAGTCCAAGGACACCGTCTACTTCAATGACGATCTCAAGGACGCTAAGGAAGCTGTGCAGGAAACACTGTCACAATTCGAGGACCTCATGGCGAAGCTGAGTGAGGAACAGGAGAGAAATGTGAGGAGAACGATTGGATTGAAGATGGAGGAGCTTAGGGCACAAGAGATGATGATTGACGACAGTTTGAAGGAGTGAATATTATTGGAATTGGTTTCTAGAAAGAAAGGATGTTTTGAAGAAATATATATATTGCAAATCAGTGAACTTTTAATTGACATCTTTGGTCTTCTCAGTATAATTCATTGGAACGCTGATTATGTTGAACACTTTTATGGAATAAAAACTTTCTAACTTTCTGATATCAAGGTATTGCTGGCCCAACTTATTTGTTTTCTATTGTTTTACAGGCAAGATACAAGGTGAAGCATTTCATGGTTCCATTAGAGTTTGTTATAAAGAGGTTCCACTGTGTTTAGAGACTTAGTGACTCCAGATTTGATGATTAGAAGACTTTAATTTAATTTGTTTGTCCAAGATGTCCACTGCAACTGTTATGCCAAAAGGCATGATGAGGTACTTGCAACGATCATATTTCTATTGTATTCAGAAAATCCGCTGGGAAGATTTTAAGGCTAAGCATTGAGAAAGGATGAAAAATTCACTAGTTTACAGCCCATAATGAGGGGGAAATGCCATGAGTAAAAGAGAAGAAAATATTTTATAGAATCTAGATTTTAGACAGAGAAAGTTTTAAAGAACAGTAATTGAAATCAAGTGGAGAAATTGATCTAAATCCCCTCCCCCTAGGCATTTATAAAACTACAGGATTTTTCAATCGCTATGTGAATTGGCAAAGTGTTTTACTTCCCATTATTTATTGATAGAGACATTTCTAGTTTTATATTTCTTGTTAACTTCAGGGCATTGTCTGTTCTGAAGAATGCACATTTTGGCGATAAGTGAAGCAGGGTCTATATTCAAAGCACATTATATTTCACTTGTAAAAATGAAAATGAAAATGCCTTGTGCTAGTGTGCTGATTAAAGTCAAATACTCAAATAGCCTATTACTGTTCACCTTTATTTTTTGTTATACCTGGTAGTATTTATTCAACCAACAAACATGGTCTTTGCTGCATTTTCAGTATCGCACAAACTAGTAAAGCAATAATTATAGACGCCAGTAGTTTTATGTTTTCTTTCTTTTTCAATAGAGAGGGAGAGAAAGCAGTAAGATGTCTTAAGATTGAATACTATACTCTGTTTTTAAGGTTAAAGCTGGTGTACATTCGACAATAGCAATTGAACTCTACATTATACTATGTAGTAATGTACATTTAATTTATTTTATGTTTTGTACTGTTGTATATTGAATTTAGCAAAACCATTATCCCCCGAACTACCAAACGTCTTGAAGTATATACTTGCATATTAATCATAACTGCACCCTTCAATTTAGCATCAAAATCTCCTCTACTCACATAAATTTGTATGTGAATTATCATTATTTCTGAATCAACTAGCATTTTGGGGTGCAATTCCTGGAGGAATCATGGTAAATAAATAAATGTATTTTTTTTGCATTACATGTGTATGTTTAAAGGTACAATGTCCCTTTTGCAGCCAACCTCAAATTCTGTAGAACTTTGCAGGAATTATGAATATGTCATGTATGTCTTATCTGTGAAATTTAAACGTTAGCAGTGTCCTCATATTCAAATAATGCAAGGAAACCCGTTTACTTGCTAGACTTCACTGTCAGACACTATTGAGTGACTTACTGGCTTTTTTTTCTTCTTTGATAATAACATACATGTACATGAAAAGAGTTGTAAAGGTACATGAACATTTGTCTACATCAATAACCCACTTCTTGTGATGGCCAAGATTAAACTGATTGAATCTTTGCGCAGCATAAAACGTATGACCATTCGGTACAATTGTCTGAAAATCAAGACTATTACTTTTGGGCTCTATAGCCCTAAAGTCGATTTGACAACTAAAATTCGTCATTTTCCCACTTGAAGACATTTTCAAGCCTTTTTTTAGGAAAGTTCTAAATTAGTATTATCTTTCAAATGCAGTTGGAATTTAACTTTTTCATTTGTTTGGCCTGCAAATGGGACGTGTAGTACCTTTAAAGCAAAAGGAGATAATATAACTTCACTAGAACATGTATGGCAGCCATTACCATATAACTTTAGAACGTGTGCAACGTGCTTGAAAACTACATGTTAATCATACAGAAAATTGTGTTGATAACATTGTATGTGATTTATTGTTTGAAATTGTCCACACATTATGAAGACAGAGGATAGCTCTATGGAAATAATACACCACTTCAGGTGATACTGTACCTAACCTAGTCAAATACGTTTTCTGTGTGTGTGTGTTTTTTTTTTAAAGAATTGTGTGCATAACTTTCATCTAATGATATAAGATAAAAATAAATAAATTTCCAAGTTCTTTTCTTTTTATATTCTTGCCCATGTCCTTGTGGCATATCTATCTCATTATCAAAAAATTCCACCATGTCTTGGATTTAATTCTCTTTGTACTGCCCATCAATATTTTTCAGTCTTTTAATCACTCTCTCTTTCACACACCCTCCCTCTCCTGCCCCTCGATAGAATCTTTTCTCAATACACAAAGTCCCTCCTCATCTTCTGATGAAACAGTGTACAATTCAATTTCAATCCTAAATACAAAATCTTGGAATAATATATGCATTCATACTTTTCAACTCCTGTTATTGGAATTATTGTGAGGGATGTTTTCTTCTAAACAGTACAAGTACCATGGGTCTTGGTAGTTTGGGTTGATTCATTCACTGCTTTGACTTTCCTCAAATTTTTCTAACATCTTATATTTGCAGTGTTAAACATGACGTTCTTCCTTTTCCCCCCTTCCTTAGGGCTACTCAATTTCTCCTGACATCTCTTTTGCTCTCTCCTCTCTCTAACTCTACACAACATACATGCTCACAATGGCTGCAACAACATACCGGTAGTAAAAGAAAAGTACAAGTACCATTTACCTGGGATAATAAGGTGCAATTTTAATGGTATTCTTTTTATTTACCCACGCCATGCACAATATTATAATTTACATACACTATGTGTCCTTTACATTCCAGTATGTACTTCATTCAAATACTAGTATCTGTCTAGTTTTTAAATAATTCTTACATTGCTCTATATATTTCAAATATTTTTTCTGTACAATTCTGAAAATTCATACTTCCCACTCAAGCAAATAACCAGGTAAAAAAATAAGTTATTTGCCAAAGCAGAAGCTGATCAATAAAATGATCAATATTCTTTTTTTACATGAATGCTTTACCTTCTTTACCGTTTCAACTAAATACACCAATAACATACTGAACAGCGTGGGGCTACCTATACCTTGTATGACCCATTTGGCAACATGTCCAATGTTTTCACAGAAAGAAAAGGGAAATGCGTGTTTGCATGGAGTCACATGATTCGTCTCTTGAGAGCCAGAGGGATGTTAACACTGTATTTCATCAGTGAGTTCACATCCCTCTGGTTTTGAGCAGACATTTTGTACAACATAGGGCTTATCTTTCATGAGCTATTTAAAAGGCATGAAGGGCTCTTTCATTGGAAAATTTACGATTCCAGGCAACACAGAAAAGGTGAGGTACTTCTAAACCGGGAGGGAAATAGCAACAGTTTCCCACACGATTGTTTCTTTAAAGATGTCCATGCGTGGGTATGTAGTCGTTCATGAAGTAGGCAACTTGGCGATCACTACATAACACTGGGGTAATGGGTATTACGTCCGTGTGCTGCCCTCTACATACCCATGCTTGAGCAACTTTAACAAAGAAAACATCTGCAATGAATATCTAATATGAAATGATGGAGCATTATGGAACTATACAAGTATGGGACACCTACAACAACAATTGTACTAAAACACAGTCTTCAAACTTAGTGTTGCAGTAAGTGTCGGCACTGGCAATAGCATTTGCCAATATTGTTTTGGAGACCCAGCAACTCAATCTTTTCAAAGCTACATCTACATACATGTATATAGTTAGCAACTGGCCTATTCCACATACAGTAATTTCCATCAAGGCATTCTTTAAACACACCATAAAAATCATAATAGAAAGATAATGTGAATCGTATATTAGGTTACAAAGTATTACATGCTCTTTTTTGTCATTTTTTGTCTACACAGTAGCAGCACCAGATCTTATAAACTAAAATACATGTATAGATTAGATTTAGAAAAGACAAAACAGAAAAAAAGAAACACATAAATGATTATGATTGACATAGGCTTTATAACAAGTATCTAACGTACACCAAACACAAATGTCATTGTATATGTTTTAGGATGAAATGAACCTATTCTTTCTTTAGTAAGTACACCATTTTTTAAATGATTATAAATTTATACCTGTTGACTTTCCAAAAAGCTATCTCAATCACCTGTTACATATTGTTGTAATCAAATTGTCAGAATGCAAATTACATGTATTGGTTTTTGCTAGGTCAGACTGACATTGCAGATTGCCCTGCCTAACAAAAAGTATATGCAATTTGCAATTGGACCACTGAAATACAATTTTTTCATAACAGGCAAATTCAATAGTTCATAATGAGGCACGTAACAAAGATGTATTAGACTTTATTAAATTATGAAAAAAAGCCTTTTGGAGAAGATTGAAGTTGTTGTTTGGTTACAAATAAACAGACACTGGATTTGGGCGCAATCTAGAATTTAAAAAGTACTAATTACCAAAAAGGTTTTGTTCTTGATGTAAGGGGTTCCATGTTGCTATACTGAAGTCATGCATCGGTTAAAATGGGATTTTATTGGAAGGAATAGTGTATGATAGATTTGATAACAATGAAGGGGAATAAGAGGATACATATGACCTTTAACCTTACGAAAGTCAATGAAATAATCACTGATAAAATAAAATGAAAAGCAGTCAATAAAGTGATGAATAGCCATTGGTAAATGATCTTGACTAAGATAAATCATAGAATACATTTCATGTTTACATATCTGAAATGTATAGAGTGATCAGATATCAACTTATGAATGATGGGTCTGAATCTGAATGAAGAAAAAAAAATATTAAGTTGAACAAACGTCTAGAAAAGGTCAACATTTCAACGTGAAGAATGTCATGCTTCACAGACAGACTGACAGACAGACAAATCTGCATGAGGAAATAAAAATTAAGGTATGAACCATAAGTGACTTTATCAGCTTAGTATAAACTATGTCCAATATAAGAGTTACCACAAAGACATACTCTTTGTGTAATGTGTACTTCCCAGCTTATTTCGTACAATTGTAAATTATTTCGTTATGATTATATCAATTATCATATTCATTTTATTCCAAAAATAATTTCTTTTGCTAAAATTTACATGCTATATTTATCTGTAAGACATGGCAACAAATAGGACTGTTTAAAGCTGTTGTAATACTTCAAAATGAGGGCCAAAACAACTATCTGAGACCAGTCACAGATAAAAAATTCTGCTTTGAAGAACATTATTGTATTTTTGCATTTTACAAATTTTGTTGACATTGCAAAAACTAATTAATTTCGGGTACTAGCCTATAGCTAAAATGTTGGTTATATGTTTGCTTGCATTAACAAACACTAATTACAGTCATGCTGTACTTCAATCTATCATTAACATTCCCATGCATTGACTGGCTAAGAATGGAACAAAACACTCATCTTCTTCATATCTGCCAATTCTGAACTATTTATGACTATGACACAATCCGCTGACCAAATTACCAATTTGAGAATTGCACACAGGTAGTCATTTTCGTTTTCAAACATTCTTGTGTAATTGGTCCGATATATTCCAAACTTTTGCCATTCTGTTTCTCTTAATTTTCTGCTTTCATACAAATGAACTCAATACAAAGGTTGGATTGCCCTCTAACAACAGGTACAATTAGGTAAGAAAGATTGCATGCGCGTAAAAGACAATTTGATTTTGTACTCTCATAGTATGATCAATCAACTGCAGAAAAGGAGAAGTAGAACAGCACTT